GCCCCCCCCCCCCCCCTATGGAGCCCCTAGCATGGCTAGAAAATAAGAATTTTTCCATTTTTCTATTCTATATATAACCATCCAGATTTGATTAAACATTGTTTCTTATATTACAAAGTTTGTATTATTTTTCGTCTGATTGATAATGGTACGTGATTAGCCGGAACTTTTTAGATTTTTTCACTCTTTTCAAACCTTTTCCCGCATTTTCGCATTTTCTCCCGTGTTTTGTAGCCTCATACAGTTACTTTTCATACTGCTTATTTTTTGGTATTACATTGCGAGGCAATACCTTTTTCATCTGCGATTTTCTCACATTGCAGGCTGATTATTCCTTGCCCGAGAATATCTACACGGTCCAGCGAAAATGTATGTCAATCGAATTTTGGCTTAGTTGATTGAAAATGAAAATCCAAATGCTATAGAGAATTGTGCCTCTCATCAGGCTCAGTGGCGTGAGGTGCCTTGCGATATATCGATTGATCTGTCATTTAAACAGGGTGCTCGAAATGAACACCTTAATATTCGATTCTTTACCATAGCTTCAAATGGGGAAATATCGATAATCGATCATTCACGCCTCGCCACTGCTTTCATCAGGCTCGGGCAAGGGGCAGAAAATTTTCCCATACCTGATTCGAGTCACTTTGTGGGAAAGGAAGGATGTGTATTTACGGCGCAAGTAGGACACAAAAATGAGATAACGTGTTTTAACATAAGTGGCGATGTTTTCTCGAACATCGAAACGAGAATTTGCTCTTCGTTTATCTGAAAAGTCAAGTGCCTAGACCTATATAAACCACTCGAATACATGCATTCATTCCGGTGCATTTTCTTCAGCACTTCTCCTTATATCAAGATTTTTGCATATATTGAGTCTGAGTTATTTTATTTCCTTAATTTCTGTTGTTTCATTGACTTTTTAAATGTATTCTTATTTGTATTTTTTCTAAAAAATAAATGATCCCCTTAAAATATATTTAGATTTTTTAAATTCGATTTTCAAATGTTTTTATTTTAATCATTCATTTTATTTGATTTCTTTTATCATAAAAATTAACAAACCTCGCTCAACGTTATCCGTAGAAATGTTAAAATCCTTTGAGTCTCAACAAAGTAGGAGAATGAACATGAAGACTCACAATTCTTTCCGTAGTACAGCTGATTCACTTGACCTGGTTTCGCAACACAAGCTAACTGAAACAACCTACGCAGGTTCTACAACACATGCAGGGAGCAATCACGGCGAAAAAAATTGTCTTTAGTTCTTTTATGATAAAATAGACAAAAATCAGCTTTGTGACCGAGTATTTTTAATTATTTGAATTTAGGGAGAAAGCAGACACTGGAAACCGATTAAAGGTAGCCGCGACGCGAAGTATGACTGAATAATATTTACCAGGTAATTGATAAATGAAAAGGCGGGTAAGATACGAGCCGGTCCACAACGCTGTGTTGCCAGAGAGCTAAAATATTGAGAAAATAGTCTCAGATTTATTTCTGCTAACTTACGTAACCGTCCGCCGTGCTAAAGAAAGACGACATGTGAGAATTATAAATATTTTTCGAGAGTTTCAGGTCCAATAGAAAAATTCGCATCTGAAAGTTCCCTGAAAAAACGAGGGAAAAATTCACAAATTTTCCGAATAATTCGTGTTTTATAAGAGGCAATCTGACACGATCAATCGATGAATTTATTTAATGATCGTCTACTTCCACATTTTGTAGCTGTTTATTGTTAATGTAGACATTATATCATCAACACTATGAGCTCTCTGAACCCCTAAATTTTTATTTTTTGTCGCAGTTCGTGCTCCATTCTACTGGGCCGATTTTCATGATTTCTTGCTGTTATCGACAGGTAAAAGTCCCCAAGTGAGTCCATTCTAACGACGTAGCTTTACTCACGGCGCGTAGTGGACCGAGTCAAAAGAAGAAGTTGGATCAAATTTGGAAACTTTAAAAGCTTATAACTCCGTGTATACACATTTTTGAAGTTCTAAAATTTGTCCTATTGGTTTCCTCGTGAAATTTTTTTCTGAAAGCACCCCTTAAAATTTAAAATGTGACGAAAGAAACATCAAAATGTGCAGATTTAGTAAAAAATGTCATATCCGACCTCACTGGATTGAGTCGATCCACTGTGCGGTGGGGGCCCAAGAGGGCCTTTTGGTCTCGCGGTTGGACCGCGTATTGGCCAGGGGGCGTACCCCCTGGTAACTAATAACCATTGAATACATCTAAACAAGAAAGTACGACCTGTATTGCAATTGCATGATGGAAATCGCTTAGCTAATTTGTTTGAAATTTTGAGAGAATTTTATCGAAAATTAACTCTATGCAGTGTTGGACTTTACTTTAAACGAAGAACACGCTAATGTAGAGAATATTGAAGGTGAGAATGCATGCGTTCAAATTTCGGCGATAAGCCTCAATAAATGTAATGAAAAATTAATCTACAAGTCATGATTTTCGTTTTCACATTTGAATATAGTTATGCCAGGGTGAAATAATTTAGAATTTTCTTTTTTATCAAATGAATTAATTTGATTTAATCTTTTTCTTAAAGTTTTCAGTTTTGAAGGCAGACTTTTTGACTAAGAACGAGACGAATTTTACTACAAAACAAAGGATTATAATAAAAGCTCCTAAGTACACAATAATCACGTCCAATAAGAGAAGTTGATACCAGGGCATTTTCGCTGCCAAAGGTTTCAAATGATGTGCACCTTTATGGCGTGCTACATATTCTATCCAGTACAAAGCCGTTTCTAGTGATGACATGGGTTTGTCGGTGAAGATATTCGAAGCTTTCCTGATGTTTTCCTTGAACCTGTAAAGTTTAAACTTTTTTAATTCTTGGCAAAGTTAAAGAAATTTTACTTAGTATTTTGGACGATAAGGGAAACAAGTTCTAAAAATTAAAAATTAAAGGTATTTTGCTTTAAATTCGTAGTTCCTTGCGTATTTTAGCAATCTCAACATCTTCATTTGGTAGCTTGGAATTCGCCTTGTAATAAACACTCAGAACTCGCAATCCTCTGAAGCGCAACCCACGTTATTGTGTAGAGATGACCCCTAAACTTTCCTCCATTGTTCTGAAATTTACCTTCCTTTAAATCATTGTGTAGTAATTGATGAGAACAAAGGATCATTAAGACCGTTTGAATTGACCATTACACCGAGTAAAAGTCATTTTATGTACGAATAAATTCTGATGACTCAAGTCTCAGCATTCAAGCATTCGCCTCAGATATATATGTACTGTTTTCTCTTTCGTAGAACTCGAGAATTTCTTACAATTTCTTGTCTATTATAAGAACATTTTCACTGATTTAGTTTTTCTTTTCGTTCATTTTTCCATGGTTAAAATTATCGCATTAAATTGTCAGTTTTCTGTCACACGCAATTTTTTTCCACTTATAAGATGTCCCCCATCTACTTCGCTGTTAAAGCTCGAATTCTATATGGGTGCGTCAAACGTGACATTCAGCGTGCACATGCATGAAGCGCCTTCAATGCGTTGATACAACTATTACCACTCAATGGCTATCCGTGTTGCCTGCACGAACAATGAAGGCGTTTTGATTTTTTGCCCCCACATCAAATGTAGAAACTTTAAAGCTTTTGGACGAGTCGTTACTATTTTATCTAAGTTGAATTAGGAGTTGCAACCCTTAAAGCTCGAGATTATGACACGCAATGTGAACCTTTATCAAGCACTAATCATTAGAACTCGATCGTTTTCACGAGGATACAGCAATTTCACCAAACGACAATATAAAAAACCAAGCATCGCGATATATATATATATATATATATATATATATATATATATTCTTAATAAAATTCCACATAGAACACGATATAACTTTTTTGCGAGTGAGAATTTTGAGTCGGTATGAACATCTCAATAAACTTCAATATCATTTACTGGTTGCAAAAACTGGTTGGAAAATTTTAATATGCCCAACACTGCTAAAAACAATAATAAAATCTATTCCCATATTGAAGATTTGCTTGATTTAATTTATCAACACCACTTTCGAGCCAAAGACTGCATCTAAATTCATTAGACTCTAACGAACTCTTAATTATTGAAATTGCTTCCAACAATAAGTTGAAGTCTCATTTGACTCGATCTAAAAGTCAATTGACTCTACTGATCTTCAATATGAAAACAGAATCCTATCATTTTACACAATAAATGTGTTTCGCATGAGCTTGCCATGAGGGAACATGTCTTGAAATGCTTGCTGGTTCCTATCTTGTCTCGTCGACTATTCCGAACTTACCTAGAATCTCCTAAAACTGTAGTCATTGCCCAACGCAGTGATTGCTGGCTTAGATTTTTGTAAGTCACCCTCAGGCCATAGCCAAAATACTCAGCATTGGCAAGATTAACGATTTGGTCTCCATAGAAGGGGATTCCAACGACGGGAACAGCATGTTTGATCGCCTCCATCATGCTTGACACACCCCCATGCGTAAGAAATAGGACACAGTTAGGGTGGGCTGTAAAAAAACAATAATTTAAAATGTTGCCCTAAAAAATGATTACTGCATGTGTAAGGTCGATACAAATTTGAAGAATTTCATAATGATGCATAAGAATGCTTACCATTAAGATGGTGGTTCATAAAATACTACCATAAGAAGGGGGGGGGGCTATGGCTGCGTTACATGGGGAGATCCGGGGTCGCGTCAAGTAACGATGACGATGTATTTTTACAGTGTTTGTCTCTCTTTTTCATTTTATAATATGATTTATTTTTCTGTTCTGCAAGCCATTTTATCAGCTTTTAATTCTTTTTTGTTTTTTTTTCTTTCCTCTTTTTATTATTCTCCATTTTCCTTCCAATTCTATGATCGTGACATTTTAGAATAACCGAATTTGCCTCTATTTCATTCTCTCATTTTGGTGCCTTTCATTTTTCTCATAATTAATAATAAAATAATAGATGAAAATTGAGGATTGTCCGTGATTTTTCCTCAATCATTTCTCAGTTTCCCTGAGCAGTGATAGGATGCCGAAGTACATTTTGAAATGAGTTTTACCCAAAACACTAGTTTGAGGAAACCAGTCCTTTATGTGAACATTTTTCGGGATGTTCCATTCGGACGCGTTCAAGTCTGCTTTCCACAGTATGGTTTGGTCCAACTCCTCAAATACTGATAAAAATGCGTGGATCGCCTCTCTCCGAAAATCGCTGGCCTTCAATATGGACCCGAAACAAAAGAAAATTACTCCATTTTTGGCTGTGTCCATTATTGTTTTCAAATCCTACGAAAAATAAGTAATGAGATAACATGAGACAACTGGTTAAAAAGGTAAATAATTTTATAGAAAAATTAACCCGGGGCAACGCAAAAAAATCTACCTCGTGAAAAATTAAAAAAAAATCATTATTCAGTTTCGATCATGTTAGGATTGAGGTTATTCAATGCATTCATTCAATTAATCATTTCTTTTTTCCTCACAGCCAGTTGATTATATCGTCATCAACAAAGGTCAGCAGATTATATATTCTAGCAAGTGATCAAAAATTGCCTTCGAGAGTATAAGTCTTTAATTCATGAACTTCATTAGTGCTCCTTTTGTAAATTCGCAAAAACTGCCTTCAAAATCACCGGTATGCAATTCTACAACGCTGATGTTCGAAAAGTTATCGTTCAATCTCAAAAGGGGTTTCAAAACTCCACCCGAGCCCGAGCTTTCTCTGATAAGTGACAAGGGCGCAAAATCGCCTTCAAAATCATTGGTATGCAATTCCACGACGATGGTGTTCGAAAAGTTATCGTTCAAACTCAAAGGAGATTTCGGAACTCAACCCGAGCCCGAGTTTTCTCTGACAAAGGCGCAAAATCGCCTTCAAAATAACGGGTATACAATCTTAAGACAGTCGTTTAAAGATAGTTTTTGCTTAAATTCAAAGGTGTTATCGAAACTGAATCTGGGCTATATTTTTAGAGTAATACTTCACTCATGCATTGGCATAATCGGCTTGAAAGTCATACCTAAATACTCCACGAGTATACACATGCGACGGTCATATTCGCACACTCATGGTAATCCTCAGTTCAAAGTAACCATAAATATTTTATTCGTTATCATGCACAAGAGAAAACTTTTATAGGTCAAGTAGGTAAATCTGATTTTTGGCACTAACACTTAGGTAGTCATACGTAAACGTGCTCGCACTTGAGATATATACTCTAATTCCGATTTTTTGCTTGTTTTCTTTCGCCATTTCTACTATAATATCTCGGACCTCCTAAATTTTCGTTTTGTATTACAGTTCCCTCTACCGTTCCACTGGGCCCATTTCTATGATTTTTGCGGCTTTTGACAGATCCCTATGATAAACCCACTCTATTCAGATTTTGTAAATATGACCCAGACTAATTTTGATAATCATCATGCACAGTATTCAAGTATTCTTTATTGCTTCTTTGGAAAGCTTGTAAATGTAATTTCAACCTCCTCTATTTTTTGCTCTCTATAATGACCAGAAAATTCTGGACAAAATTTAAAGCTGAAAATTTGGCTTGTTTCTCTTCGGGAAAGGTGTAGGTTGGAAATTTGGGGTCCGGAAATTTGAAACTCCGCAATGGAGATACGTGCTTTCGCATTTTGGCCATCGATAGCTCATGAGGTGACGCCACTCACCTCGTCCAATGGTCTCGGTTCTTTGAGGTGTATTCCGGATATTTCGATGACGTTCGGAGGGTACACTTTAGCCCCATCCAAGGCAGTGTTGGCTGTGAGAAAAAATAGAGAGACGTTCCCAAGCATATCCGTGATGCGAGGAAGTGGTCCGGGAATATATTCGGCCAGTAAAGCGTCGTGATGTGGTAAGTACCAGTACTCCGTGTACAGCACTGTGGCTATGTGGAGTAGAGTGTTTTCTAGCCTTTGCATTAGGCTCATCGGCCCTCCATAAGGGAGATACTTTATGGACAGGTATGAGATTGCATTTGCAGCGCCGGAGTACCTGAAAATATAGGTGCATTTACCTTATGCACTGAAAAAAAAATCTCGGTGTATTTACTAAGAAAAGGGTAAAATTACCAAGAATTCAGGGTTCTATTTGATCCCATTTTTTTCTTGGTAAAATTACCATTTATGGAATTGGTAATTTTACCGAGAAATCTCGGTAAAATTATCGATATTATAGGTAATTTTACTGGACCCCGGTAAAAACGCCAATATTTTTTATCGACTGTGGTAGAATTACCGAGATAAAATGGCAAAGTTATCGGGAATTGATTACCAATAAAAGTGGTATTCTTACCTGAAAAAAAACAGTAAAAATACCGGTACACACTGAAAAAAAAACAGTAAAAATACCGGTTTTAGGGAAGCTTACCAGTCTGTCTTGGTAAAATTACCAATAACTGGTAAAAGAAGTGAGATGGTGAAGGTACCAACGGACCTTGGTAAAAACGCCGAGAATTTTTTTTCAGTGTGATGTTTGCAAGTCGAATCTACGGACAGACTTATGAAATTTTGGAAGCACAGTCAATCGTTTCTGGCTAAAAACAACACAAGTACCATTAGTCCTCTTAAGCAGATTGATGATTTTACGAATGATCTGGAAACAGTGGCAACTTAATGCAAAATGAAGTAGAAATGCGTGAAATTTATTTTCATTTTTCACACTTAATTAATTTTGAAGTATATCGCCGGGGCAAATTCATGCCCACAAACTATGACCCTATTTGAGACGTGAGTTTAAAAAAAGGACCAAATTTTAGAATCCAGTTTCTCCACACTAACAAGCTAACACTAAGTATCGAATTCAAACATCAAAATGATGTGCTGAGTGAACGAACATACGTCAAAAGTGCGTTTGGCGATCCCTAAATGATGATTTATTGCAAGCTACCATCGCAGTTAACTTACATCCTGGGCAAATCCTAATGCAAACTCAACTGCGAGAGCAGGTATGCTACAGAGAGAAATTTCAACACAGCAGTTAGGTTAGTACGATACGCTAGTTCAAACTAGCTCCCCAACTGCCGTACTAAGAAAGAACGCCGTATGAACATTCGAGAGTCGCCAAATTTCCTTCGGTAAAATATTTATTTTTGAGAAAGTTATTATTATTTTTCCGAGAAATTTTCAAGAACTTCAGGTAAAATTGCGAGCAAAGTTACCTGAAAAATTGGAAGAATAAAATTCACAAATTTTCCCGAAAATTCGTGATTTACCAACGTAAATTTAGCAACGCCTGATGGCTCATAGGGCGTTTTTCCTTAGCGTGGCAGTAGAGCTCAGCTCTTCTATCTTTTTCGATGAGTTTATCATACCTGAGAATATCACCATCATAACCATAAGATGAGTAAGTGACGACAGGAGCATTAAAGATGTTGCCAAGAGCGACAAAAGCCTCGAATCCAAAGAAAAGCTCGGTGAAAATCAGGTCGAATTTGTTGTCGTTGCTGATTAAATCACGGAAGAGGGCCGATCGGAAAAGCTGCGGTACTTGCTGATCGGCGCGTCGCTTCCGTTCACCGAGTCTGAATATCGGATGTGGGGCATCCGTGAAACGCTCTATCAAGTTTCCAAAAACTGTTAAAAATCCGAAAAGAAAATGTACCTACACTGGAAAAAAAAAAACACACATCGGATCTGGAGTCCAGGCTCAGAAAAGCATCGACAAGAAAAACTACTCTTGATTCAATCAGATTTCAGCTTAAATGAAGACCCAAGCCTCTTAATTTGAGCGGATTTCCTCTTGATTTAAGCTTAAATCTGATTGAATCAAGAGCCCTTTTTCGTGTCAATGTTTTCAAGAGTCTGCACTCTAGATCCAATGTGTTTTTTTCCGAGTGTATTCTGCCGTGCTAAGGAAGAACGCTGACTGAGCCTTCAGACGTTGCAAAATTTCCTTCGATAAAAACCGAATGTACAGAGATTAAACTTTGAAAAACTTTTTCCAAAATTTTCGGACAAATTTGTACGCGAAGTATAATCTTAAATATCGGGAAATTCCAAAGAAAATGTGCATTGATGTCGTCAAAAATACATGTTCTATCAAGGGAAATTTGGCAACTCTCGAATGTTCATATACACGGCGTTCTTCCTTAGCAAGGCAGTATTGTCTTCTAAATTTAAATTTTCCGATAATCCCGGCACTGGCGGATCCAGCAAATTGACGACTTTGCTTTTCTCTTCTTAAACCTATGGAAATGTATCGATTCTTAGAGGGGGCAAGTGCTCCGACAATAATCGAATATTTAACATAGCTTTAAATGGAGAAAATCCGGTGTTGCCGAATTGCTGGATCCGCCTCTGAATCCTGGATGTTACACTTTTTTAATACCTAGAGCAGGTTCATAACCTTCCACCTCCTTTCTTTCCTATTTTTTATTTTGTTTTGTCCCCTTCTTTCCCCCGTTTTTCGCTCTCGGGTGGGGAAGGGGGGCTTCAGCTCCTCAAACCCCACTTCTCCTGCCACGTGCCCGCTCAGAGTTGCTCATTTTTTCCAACTTCCAATTTCTCTGAGCTTCCCTGGTGAGGATTCCTTATTTTCTCAACAGTTCCGAATTATAAAGAAATCATAATAAAACCGCAAATAACCTTATGATCCGCAAAATAAGTAAAAGCAAAGAACGAAATAATGACACCTGTGATATTTCCCAATAGATAGCCCTTTGGCCTTTCAGCGCACAGTATCAAAATTAGATTGGTTTAAAAGTGCGCCTCAATTGCAGAAATGTGGAGCAAAAGCCTTAATAAAGAAGATCAACATTTAAATATCAGTAGGGCCTTAAGTGCGTACTCGATTTCAAGTGTCATAGCAAGTTTATAAATCCCAGTAGGTATCTCTCAAATCTCCGTGACAATTACCTACAATCACCCAAGTAGTATTTTCCAACGGAAAAATTGCAATATTATGATATTGATTTGCGATTTTTTTACGATAAAACTGCTAGGATCATCAACATCTGAGCGATTTGCCTCGATCTTGTCGCTATTTCACATCTATAAAATTGCGTTCGATAAAATTAAAATTTCATCCAAATTTATTCCGACTTTTTGTTCGATAATATTGCGATAATTCGACGTCGATAAAATCGCGATACATTTTCCGATCACATCGCAACATAACGTGATCAATGTTAATTGGACTACATTTAGCAATTTGGACCTATAAATTCTGGCTCATCTGAATAAACACTTATGTGCATAAGGAAACTAATGGAACATACGTTGTTTTTAAACCGGCCCGGCATTTATAGTTCCTAATTACAAAATGTAGTCCAATTGGGCAGTGTCAATTTGCGCTTCCATTTTCCACGAGAGCAGTGCATCACTTACGGGCAGCAGGGCTAGTTTCTGGAGCTAGGAAGAAATGTCGAACGTTTTCGGTCCCATTTTTGGTCGGATACGGACTCATAACCGTCACGTTGTGACCACGCAGTCCTAAAGAATGAATAATATGCTCGACTTGGACATAGTGACTCCAAATTGGATTTGGCAAAAATACGAGAATGTTATACGCGGTGCAACTTCGAAGCATGCACAAAGCTGACAATAAAACAGTGACCTTCATATCTGGAACAGAAAATAAATGTTCCAATAAGTAAAGATGGAATGTAGACGATTAATCGCCCCCTCCCCCCTCCCCGATCGTCCTTGAAAAAAGGAGGAAGAAAAAGGGTAGGAAAAAAAATGGAAGGGGTGGACCCTCTGAAAGAAGAAAAAAGAGCGTCTATACTGGGTAATTGGACTATATTTTGCAATTAGGAACTATGATTTCTAGTTCAGCTCAGAAACAACGTATAAAACATTAGTTTCCCAATGCACATAAGTGTTTTCACAGATGAGCCAAAAATCTAAGTTCCGAATTGCAAAATTTAGCCCAATGATTCGTGACAAAATTGACTCAACTGGATGTTAGATGCTTTAAAATTTCTACAACTCTTTGGGGGAAGCCCTTCAAACCCCCTCCCCTCCTCCCTTCGAAGTATCTAGATCCGCCGATGCGGTTATTCAACTCAACTTCAGAGCTCACAATCAGTGCAGGTTAATCAACTCTGAAATCTGAGTGATGCGGGATAACAGATGAATCCAGGCAACTTGTGACATTTACAAGTGTATGTTCAACCATGAACTAGATTCTCATTCCAGAAGAAAGCCTGAATTGTTTTAGCGATTAGCAATTTGCATTTTGCCCACGGTGCATCTTGAAGGTTAAGTTTAAATTATCATTTAATTTAAATAAATTCATTACAATTTATCAATTAATTTACATTACACCTTTACGTTTGGCGGTTTAAAATTTTAAGGCTTTTAATTGAAACGCAAAGTTTCAGAGATTGTAGAAACCTCGAATGTTGGTAGCCAAAGTTCAGAACCACTTACCATTGCGATGTATCGATTGTTATGCCATTTAAACCTATGGCAAAGAATCGACTATTAAAGTGTTCGCTGCGAACACCCTGTTTATCGATCCTTTTCCATAGGTTTAAATGGCATAACAATCGATATATCGCAAACGCCACGCCACTGCTCCATTTGTGCCGTCGCGGATGATTTCCTACCATACTTCATTAAGTTCTCTTCGGAACAATGGACAACTTAATTTCTTGGAAACTTCAATAATTTTTATTCTCCGTCGGCAGAATATTTTGTACAGATGTAAGCTGTAAAAAGCGTCTTGTTTTTCTTCGAAAAAAAAAAATAGGAGGAGAAATTTTGAAACACCGCAATGAAGATACGTGGTTTCGCAATTTGGCCTAGACGATCTGAGGGATCGAAATCGTACCGGACGAGGTATACATACCTAATCAATGTTATAATTTCGTCGTTAAACTCGACTTACCTAATTTGAATATTATTTTTTCCCCACAAGTGCATCAGTGGGTGAATCAGTAATGTAGATAAATAACAATGGAATACCTCACAGTATGTATACATTCTAAGAATACGTTATTTTGACACTTTACAAAATTTATTTTAGGCAACAGAAAACGTCTATGTATGCATCCCCTCCGTTTGATGAGGTATGCAATACGCGCTGCTTCGTGTTGCAAAAAAGGTATCAGAAATTTTGATGATTGTGAAACGGAAGAAACGAGTTTCATGGTTTGCGACGATGCAGATTTCTCCTTATGCATTTAATTTTATTTTATAGCTAGGCGCATGTGAAAACGGAATGTTTTCACTCCCGTGCTGAAAAAAAAAAAAAAAAAAAAAAAAAAAGCCGTTTGGACGTTTGAGAGTTGCGAAATTTCCTTCAATGGAATGTCTGTTCTTGAGGAGAGTTCTAAATATTTTCTCTTGAAATTTTCAGATTATTTAGATTCAATTACGAAGAAACGTCTTCGCAACATTGAACGTAAAATATTCATGAGATTTCCTGAAAATTCGTATTTAATCAAAGGAAATTTGGCAACTGACAAAGGTTCATTCGGCGTTTTTCCTTAGCACGGTGGTCTGTACATTAAATGTGATTTGGATAAAACCTTTCTGAAGTAGCAGGCATTTGCTGTCATTCTACGGAATGGATAATGAGTGAAATTAAAAATTACCTCGCATTAAATCGGCGACAGATGAAACTGAAACACAGTGAACCGGCAAACCAATCGCGGATGGGTATAATTTGTCGTAGTACGATGCACATGTAGATAGGACTAGAGGACTTTGTAAGTACCCAACAGTGTTGCCAACGTCGAAGGATTCTTCCCAGTAATCTCCATGAGTGAATGAAATATTCCGAATTGTATTAGGAGATTCGGCAATGGACACAAAACAAGTTTCGCTCCTATCTAGGACGACAGTTGCAGCACGCGTGCTACGAGGCTCCTCCTACAGTCCTACCGTCTCTGGTCCTACCCGTAAGAGTCCGATAGTTCGACTGCCTCGTTGAGCTATGGGCGTCACGCAGATAGACGCATGATGGGATGTGATTAAGGAAGACTTGGCAACAACGGTCCACGTGTTATTTCAAATTTCGCGGGCTTTCTATACTAATTTGTGATTTCACAGGGCGCGCCCAAAGTCTGGGTTTCGCAAAACAGCGGTTCGACGACTGCCCCCCCCCTCTTTTTCGTTCTACAGCTTTTATCCGAGGCGTTCAGGGTTGCACGGGTGAAATGAAAAATATGAAAATTTCCGTGAAATATTTCATGAAATTTCACGAAATTGTGAAAAATATGAAACATATGACATTTTCAGGAGCTGGGTATGCAACAAGCACAAAAAAACACTAAAAAAGAAAAAAAAACGAGTCGCCTCTCATTTAATTATGCATTTAATCTCGAAAAATATATTTGTTTTTATATTTTTCGGAAATTTCATGAAACATATTTCACATGAAATTTCAAGATTTTATTTTTCATGGAAAATTGCAACCCTGGAGGCGTTTTGAAACATCAATATATCGTATTCGACAGTGGTTCGATGTATCGTTTGGTTCAAAACAATAGAACATAACCTAAGACAAACATTTTAGGATTTAATTTAGAAACGCTGAAAATGAGAAAATTCCTGACAATTTCACTTTTCATTGCCATATGGTACTCGAGAAAATAAAAATTCGACCACATGAGACCCGTTACCTCAGATTTCTAAATTGACTTTTGAGGCTGCGGTTACATATTGAAACAATCGATATCAATATAATCACACCTGAGTGATCTGTCGAATACGATCTAAAACCGTCAAGTGAACGTGCCGGTGAGGGAAGGGTGTATGGGACGCGTTTACTCGTGTTGGGCACATTTTTTGCGAAAGCCCTGTCATCACTAACAAGAGCTCAGTTCCGTAAACCAATCCCTGTTTGGACGAGGCCTTCCGCTTATAAAAAACGAACTAAAAAATTATGAAAGAACAAACATAAATGTGGTTAAAAATTTTAACTTCCACCGCCGCGCCGACCGCACTGTTTGACGCAATGCGTGAAGTATTCACGCAGTCTTGTAGGCGCTATGCGTTTCACGCCGACCGCTGCGCTGCGCTGCTGACCGCAGTGTGTTTGACGCAATGCGTGAAGTATTCATGCAGTCTTGTAGGCGCTGTGCGTTTTATGCCGACCGCTCCGTTCCAGGTCAAATTGCGTGTTTGGTTTCTCTCTTAACTCGACTAATTAAAGGTGTTGTCAGTTGTCTTTTGTATCATCGAAAGACGACAAAATTAGAAATTACTGTACTTTTACTCTCAGGAAATGAGAGATTTTGTCGCCTTTTCTCGTTTGTAATTTATTTTCTGAATCCGATTTTTCTCTCTCTTTTTTGATACCTACATTCAAAACAATTGCAAAATTTGCCGCCATGGGCCGCGGCCCATGTGGCCATCCCCTTAATCCGGCCCTCGAACTTATCGCTCCATAAGCTGCAAATCAACCGATGCAAACGATTTATCGAACCTGCTCGTAGTTGGGCATTTCCTCGACCGGGGGTGGCTACCGCCACTCTTGATAGCTATGGTCCAGTCAAATTTCGCCTTCAATGTTGCTGCATAGGCAACAAACCTACCAGAGAGCACGAATGGTTATCTCTTCGAATAAGACGCACTTATCTCTCTCTACGAGCTTTGACTAAGCATGGCTGCAGCTGTAAGCTGTTCATTCCCTCAGCAACTTCTGGAGAATAGAGAATTTGCAGGTGTCTGATATTTGATGTATCTTACATCTAAAAACATTCTGTACATTTTATAACTCTTGTACAAAAAAAAAAAAAAAAAAAAAAAAGGTGTCTGATATTTGATGAATTACGTATTTAAGTGGAGACTATCGAGTGAACTTAACACCAGGCGAAGCATTTCCTCACTTTTAAATCTATTTTATATTAACTTGTTTTGCTTACTTTTCATTCTTCGGTCCTGATTTTCCGTGTTTCTAAGATGAGGATGATCATTTCGGACCTTTCCGGTCCATCCCAAGATCCATCCATATAGGTCAGTCATTCCCGAAACCCAAATGAGAATCTTCTGCGCATGACGTCAGCATTACTGCCGCGAAAACCAGAAATGTCGGAAACAATGCTTTTCTTATGGGAGAGAACAAATTTTTCTTAATGAATCATTTAAATTTCTTGCTTTTAAATTCTTTGAAGCTTTCTGAGTGTCGAAAGGAACGTTTAGAAATTAGCGTCAAGGGTTTCAATTCAGCTGAATTTGCGTTCTTATATTTTTAAATGATTTTTGAAGTCAGCGATGTAACAAGCCATCTAGTGGTATAGATTCGCGTGTAAAAATGGCTGATGCAGAGTAAACTGTAAAAATGAAAGAACACAAATTCGGCAAAATCGAAACCCTGAATGCTAATGTCTAAACGTTCTTTTCGACACACAGAAAGTTTCAAAGGATTTAAAAGTAAGAAATTTAAATGATTCATTAAGAAAAATTTGCTCTCTCCCATAAGAAAAGCATTGTCTCCGACTTTTCTGGTTTTCGCGGCAGTAATGCTGACGTCACGAGCCAATGGAAAGGGGCTTACCCCGAGCGGGGAAATCTGCGCAATGACTGACCTATATGGATGGATCTTGGTCCATCCTCACGTCAAACTTGGCACTCGCGAACTCGCGAACTTGTGGAAAAATAAAAAATAAATAAAAGTATGTGTTATTGCGTTATTAGCGCACGCTTATCACTCCGCTCAAACTCGCGGGATAAGCTCGGGCTGATAGCTCAATAACAGATACTTTTATTTAATTTTTATTTTTTATTTTTCGGCAAGTTCGCAAGTTCGCGAATGCCAAGTGTGACCTGAGGATGGACCGGAAAGGTCCGAAATGATCATCCTCGTTTTATAAACACAAAAAATCAGGACCGAAGAATAAAGAGTGAGCAAAACAAGTTAACGTATTCACCTGATAAAGAAATGAACTCAGCCGACTATTTTTATATTACTTCCCATGGCAGAAAAAAATTATAAAAAAATACTGTGAAATCAGCTCTTTAAGCACTTCCAGATGAAGCGATAAAAAATATGCATGCAAATTCTCCGTTTACAGTTTCATTTTATTTGAATTTTAGCGATTGTAATATGCCTCTATTTTAACAAACTATGATTTTGAGTGAATCGTTCGACTTGAACTACCTACTTTAGCAAATTAAGAATTATTTTCGTTCAAAATAAATCCTTTGTGTGGAACTCATGTTAAACTGCAAGCTACGTTTTTCACATCAGTAACTTCTTTGAGCTTCATCTCTACACGAATTCTTACAAAAGACGTTTCTTTGATTTTACGAGCATATTCACAGACCTTAACTGCATTGCTTCGCTGTGCTAACCTGTAGTAATGTGCCATTCTTGAGGTTCTAATCGGATTATTTTATGTATAAAAACTTTAATCAGTCAAACAAACAAAATCGCAATCTAAATATTCTGACAGAATTGCAAATTTTTATCGAAAGTTTGAGTCGGCAGTTTTTACTTCGTTCCTTTTTTCTTTTTAGTCTTGGATCAAATTATTCTGATAGATTATTTGACTTAATGGTTTTGAAAAGGTACCAAGAAAAATGAATATTATTTTGGAAACATTGAAATGATCATTATCTGCGTAAAGTTGCCCAAAAGCTAACCTGGGCCATACTTTCAAAATCTGAATAGAGCGAGCTTGTCTAGAGACAATTACCTATCGATGGCCGCAAAAATCATGAAAATCGGCCTGGCAGAACGCTAGAACTAAGCGTTACCAGGAATGAAAATTTAGGAGGCTTGAGAGCTTACAGTATAGATTTGAAACTTTTTGACAGTGAAACTGTAGAATTTTGTTCCTCATTTGCCCTGTTCCAAAATTTCCACCCAAATTTAATTGCTCCAAAATGGAAAAAACCAACACTATTGCTTTGAAGTTTCACAGAATAATCTTCACATGAAGTGGAAAAATTAGGAAATTTCTCGATGGACGCTGTTCGGTCATTTCCATTTCAAAAATTAAGTATGACATGAAGTTAGCAATGTTGCAAACTGAGATATATGTTTCTGCAGTTTCACTCTCGTTTTCCTCTTAACTTTAGACTTGCCTGATTCCTTACTTTTATTACACTGATCTTGGGTATGCATTACAAAGTTTTAATTTCTAAACTTGCTTTTTTTACTTTTACTCTCCTTGGTTGAATGATCTATAGTTACAGAGTTTGAAAATTCTGAATTTCAGAGCAAGGGTTTGTAGAATTCTAAAATACTGCATACATGTAAAAGTAGAAAATAATTGGCTTTATTTACATTTATACATAAAAACAAACAAAATTCATAAAAAAATAAAAGTAAGTGAAAATCAATCACAAATTTTGTTGCAAGGAACTTGTTACTTGCTTCGCATACTTCCAGAAACACTCATAGGGGATCCTGAATTGACTTTTCTTTTCTTTATTTTCTTCGGCAACAATATATGCGATTTGAATACTGCATGGCAAGTCATGCAAATGGGTGTAAACTTACAGAACACAGAGAGGCACACTGAACAGACGTAACCTAGCTCTATCAGTTGCTTGTGGCAAAAACAGGAAGCACGGTAGTCAACTTTCACTGGAGGAGGCACTATCAGATGTTTCCGTAGGGGTGGTTCAGGCAAGAAAACCCACTGTAACAGAGCAAGAATAGGAATTAGCAAGAAATAAAATAAACAGCTGATCATAAAAAAGTCATACGGCAAAAAGTAAAATATGGTGGGTACAACATTAGATAATTCTTAAATCTGAATTTTTTGTAGGGGCTCATGATGATTGATTTGGGCAACTATGTTATGTCTCCAAAAATACATAAAAAATGGCAGATGTGGCCTATTTTTATATTCACTGTAGCTTATTAAATATTTCTTCTTTCACTTTCTAAGATCATTTTTTAGAGGAGAATTTTTTCTAGACTAAATCTTTAAACCAGCCTTCCTTTGTCTTAGGGAGGCCAAAAGGCACTTCTTTTAAAACTTTAGGTACAGTTTTCACAAACTTTAAAACTCGACATCCGCCATTGGTACAGATATGGCCTCGAATATTGATGAAGTGTTTGCGGACACAGGTTTTCAGATTTTAATATACCAATTAAACTCTCATATTTTCCAAAAAGTTTTCAATATAACATAGCAGCATGTTTGTTTGTAATGAGCCTCATACACTCAAGAGATACAGCCAAATAATTGAAGATTCCAAACGTGAAATCCCCGTAAATTACAATGAGCTTATCAAGAGAGTCTGTAATTGGTTCTAATGTTCCCAATTTGCAGTTTGTCCATGCTTTTCCATGCTTTTCCAAATTTTTTGCGTTTGCAGGCAGTTTTTCTAAGTTGCCAGCAACCAGGTTTCCTCAACAAAGGCATTAGAAAACTTAACTTGAATGAACAAACAATTCCAGAGATAACAATCTTACAAACTTTTTTCAGAAAAGTCACCCACCAGTAAATACTGAACAAGTCCCGAGAGGTTTGCGGATGGTACAAGCAGGAAATGCCCATTGGTTATGTCTGTTCCTTGTTGGAGTAACTTCAATTCAGCTTCTAAACTGCATACATCAATAGCAATGTTCTGTGAAAAAAGACCAAATTTGTGAAGAAAATATTTTGGTGAATCTTAGCTTCGATGAAAATATCATATTGACATTGTTAAGTAGACTATACTGCCATGCTAAGGAAAAACGCTTTATGAGCCTTCAAACACTGCAAAATTTTAATAGATAAATTCCGAATTTTCGGGGAAATCTGTGAATATTTTTCCTCCAGTTTTTCAGAAAATTTTACTCACAATCAGACCTGAAAACTCTGAAAATTTCAAGAGGAAATATTCATAACTCTCCTTAAAAATAAACATTTTCTTGGAGAAAATTTGGCAATTCTCGAATGTTCATATGACATTTTTTTTTAACATGGCAGTAAAGTAGCTACTTTAATGTATATGTTGAGGTTGGATCTATTTGCTCTGAAAAGTGCAGCAAAATGGATGAGATCAAAAAATGCATTCTATTTTTGGATGGAAGAACATTAAGTGTCAAATGAAACATCTAAAAAATCGGCCCATACTGGGATGATTCTTGGATTGTAAATACATATCAAGCTCAACCATCAAATGTCCTCAAAGTGTGGATAGAGTCAAGGTAACAATCAAATTGTGGCTCATCATTGCACTGATTTTTGAATACAAATGTAAAATCATCAAAGTGAAGAGATTCCAAAGATCGAAAGGTCTTACCTGTCTTTGAGCAGCAAAAAACACATTCATCAAACTCATATACTGGTGCGAGAAGTCGAGGCTACCTGTGATTATCAGAATCCGAGAGTTTAAATTATTTTTGGACATGAATGTTGCCTCTATCCTGTAAAATTATTGGAAAAAATTAAAATTTCATACTGACTTGGACAAAACATTTATGATAAGTCCTAAAGCTAGTTTTGAGATTGTTGAACAATTTTCACTGAACACACCTACAGAGAACAATCAAACTCAAATCCTGAGGTACCTGTTTTGAGATTTTAGAAGAACTAATTACAATCAAGATAATTGTTGGACTTTGTAACGAAAGTAAGTTGACCTTCATCCCAACATAAATGCTCACTTGACTACATTCAAGAATGATTAAAATGAATTTAAATTCTTAATATTTCTCGTTAATAGACAAGTTTTTGAATAAAAGTTACAATAAGAAGTATTTTAGAATTGAGTTGGACAACCATTTGACGTTGTTCACTTTAATCCGTATTTGGAATCAAGTGCTATCTTAAATTCAGCAAAATCAGAATTTTCTTCACAAGCACACAGGAGAAATGGATCTTGGTTCATCGACAAGCAAGTGGCTTCTCTCATATTGCCAAGTTCCTTAGGTTTTTGAAGAAATTTTTTTGTTGATAACTTTGGTTTGGTGTGACATTATTGGGTATTGCTTGCACCAAAAGATTTGTAAGACACTCAACTTTGCGACAGGTGATGCCAATTATTTGAGTCTGAGTTTTTCTGCATTTTTATTTCTTATCGCATGCTGAAGGTTCGATAAAAAAGGTTTCACAAACCTGTTGATGAAGCAAAGGCCAAGAGCTGCAGCGCCACTGATTAACGAAGGTAACTTGGAGGGCTCATCTTCATCATCTTTCGAGCTGTCATCATTGAAAAATGACTTCACATTATTGCGTATTGTTTGTTCGACGAGAGTAAACATTTCATACTGACTGTCTGTTTGCCTAATGTTCAGCTTATTCTTTTCATCTGGGTACAAATACTTACTGAAAAAGAAGATGGAAAGAAAACATGAAAATGGAGGATCATTAACTTCAATACATTATATATGTACAAACGTACTCAATCATGAGAAGAACGAAAATAAAAATTCAAAATCAGGTACGTATCTTTATAAAGAGTCTTTTAGCATCACTTAAAATTCAACTACCTTTAATTTCCACCTGTTTACAAAGTTTTAGAGGAGGCGCTCAAAGAAGTCAGGTGCTTTTTTTGATTATTTCTTGACATCTGTCTCAGAGAGTAAAGCTATGCTGTCGTGCTAGGGAAGAACAAGAGTTGAACAAGAAGTTGGCAGAGAAGACATACATTAGTGTGGTTTAATCCATAACTTATTGATTTGTTTCTTTATTCCCAGTCATAAAAAGCAACTGGCATGTTGCAAAACTGTGGCTGATTTAAGGTGAATTATTGCGAGTTGGACGTATTTCTATCAAACGGAACTATGTGCATTAAGACATGAGCCCTGGGGTCCGTAAGAATATGTGCATAATAGGGCTCACGTCATAACGCACATAGTTCCGTTTGATAGAAATATGCCCAATTTTAACTACAGCTGAGTCTCTTAACATCTGTAAATGAGTTTATCAAATGTAAATAAACAACATCTGTGATCTGTTAATCAAAAAGTAAGAGCAAATTCTCTTCAGAGGCCCCAAAAAGTATAGGAAACGGTCTTTTCAGTCAGGCTCAAATTTTGATAAAAAGCAAAAGGATTGCGTATTCATTTTTTTTATGAAGCGTAACATACTTGCGGCAATAATCAGATCCAATAACAGCTACACGATTGCAAGCCTTGAGCATCAAATGAGAATTAATGAAGGTTATGATTGCATTCAAGTAATGTGTGAGTGAGAGTTTGTCATCCTGCAGAAAAGGTTGCTCGGTGCTGAGATCAATCACGACGACTAATAGACTTACATCTTCAACTTCTGAAATAAAAGGGGAACAATTAAATTAAATTAAATGCAGACTTTCTTTGATGAACAATGGTTTTGGAACACAAAGGAAGATATGATAAGAAAATCATAGCCACTAGTGAATCAGTAGTTTTTATTCATACATTCAACGAATCTTAGGAGCTGGTAAAACTGGGAAAAAACGCTAGGGAAAAAAAGAAGAGACATATGCCACAGCTACTTGAATGCATCAATCATCAGTTGGCCCATTAGTTACCACATAAATTTATGTTGAATGGTGCTGTTCTCTCATGTGACATTTGTCTCCTCTTTTCTTTCCGCAGTTCTAGCTGCATGTTATAAAATGTACGTACTTAATATTCTGCAAACGGAATATGTTTAGGACTCTCAAAAAGCCTTGAGTCTAGTTATCTCTAAGCAAGTTACAAACCATTAGGAGTGCTGAGATATGAAAAGCTTACATGAACACAATATTGCCTGCGCAAGGGTGGTTAAGTATAAAGGAACAGCGCAAATCTTTAGTTTGCCGTGAATGGAATCAAGGGCTTGTCCTCAGACCAAAACATTAAAGATCTCTTTATCGCTAAGCCCTTGAACCGACTAATAAATTCTCATAAAATTCTGTAGCACAACTAATACTGCAGATACCGTGATATTCTTTTTTTTCTCTGTGGCTCATACATTTACGCACGTACCTAAGTACTTCATGAATCCTGTCCTAGACATCTCACCTCAACCAGAATCTTATTTTGAAGGGACGCAAAATTTACTAGGTTTAAAACACATTCTCTATGAGAATCTTCCATCGTTGAAATGTTGGAGTATAAATTAGAGTCAACAGACTCTCTAATGAAGAAATGAAGAGTACTTGGGCTTAAATTTTATCGATCACGAGCAAGAGAGATCGGGGCATACAAATGTGGTAGATTTTGTTGGCCAGGTATTACAAATGCACTTTACCTAGTTTACTTTGCTGTTCCATTATTGCCATGGGCTTTCCACTAAACTTCACAAGAGTGTAATTTTCATATTTTTTCTTTTTTAAACACAAAATAAGCAAAAAATAAAGTTGACCGGTCACATGTTTGTTTACATTAATTACATTGACTTTTGGAGTTTGGAGGTTAAATCTATGGTTAAATTTGGCCATCGATGCTTTGAACCGATCACCAGATTTAACCTCGAAAACCCGCGAAATGTCGAAGTAAACACTAAACAAACTTTATGATGGTTTACGAGTGAGAAAGATATTATATTCTCCGATTTTTAACGAGTATAATTTGTGAAAAATGGTGAAAATAAGTGGCTTCGTGACTGTTTAGTGCATTTATAATCTGAGGTGGCTTTTACGTGAGCTTATATGTCTCTTTTCATCAGTAACAAATCCGTACTCAAAGCCTAACATTACCCATCTCTTTGGAGTGAATAGATTGTTTTGTTGACCATCTTTTGTTCAATTGTTCATGATGGATGTTACCCCCAAATCCAAACAACCCGGATCATTATTAAAAAGGAGGCCCTCCGGACTTTCAAGTTTCAATTCAAGATCAACCAGGACAAAACTCCTCAAACCTGACGACCGCAGCCCCCCAGCAGAAAAGTCGAGAATTCTGGAGGGTAATGTACTTTGTTCGTTGTATGCCTTGTTTTCTTACCATGAAGTATTCTGTTTCCTGCATATTACTGTACAAAGAATTTTATTGGTATCGCATTGGCTCTTTTGTAACAGTCTTGTCCCAAGCAAAACCACTCCACTGTCATCAGGCTCAGAATGACTTCATCTGATGGTGAAGAAGTGTGTTCACCATGATTGGTTGTTGGAGTCCACGCCGAATAAGTTTACGCACATTTAGACTGTGACACAAGATCCACCATCTTGCTTCTTGCATTTACTTAATATGTCAGAGTGATGTTAGAGAATCTTCCGTCGTAGTCTAGAAATTTGTAAACTTATTTGGCGAGGACTCTGCCGATTAAAGGTAAACTAACTTGGTTCATCCCAGTACATCAGAATCCTCTGTCAAATTTTAAGTTTTGTAAGACTATTCAACACTTTTGGCCTAAGGTTTTTTTGAGAGCCATACCGTAGCAAGAGGTGAAGAGAAATCGCACACCATTATCCTTTCATTGCTCTCATTGGTGGAGGGACAGTTACGAAACCTAGCGATGCATTCACATATTTTCATGTTTGTGACACAAAGTATCTTCTATAGTGAATGGTCTCACTCTCTTGTGAAGTCCACCTGGAGGTCTGCCTCTTTTATTCTAAAAGTCTCTTTCTGTACGAAAGTGAAGACCTATGACAAATCCTCTGTTGGACTTATGTAGTGTGTAAACTTATTGGACTCTAGGGAAATTATCAGCAATGGAAGGTTGATCCTGCTCACCACAAGTTAAAGAAACCCAAGGAGTTACCTCATGGTGTATGAACTTACAGCAATTCTTTCTGTTCTGAGTTGGATGGATCTTGTCTATCCTACTTTCTTGGAATTGAAAGCTACTGCTTGAATGAGTTTCCTTTTATTTTACTTTTCTATAAATTTCTGCAGCTCAAGTGGATTTTTATTTTTCAAACACTCTGTATAACATATTTTAAGCACAGAGTTTGAGGAACTTGATTTTCCTACTAAGCTGACACTCGTGTTATATCTGTGAAGTGTACCTAAGTTTATCATTTCACAGTGTCGACTACTCTGTAGTTAAACTTAGCCATGGCAACTGTTCAACAGGGTGTGTAGCATCAAGATTTCCCTGATTCTATCAGGATTTGAGGTCAGTCAGGATTTAATCCCGATTTCATCAGGATTTGAGAAAATTTGGCCGTACAATCGGATTTTTTTATTGAGCTATTTTTGTGAAGTTACATTCGCTCTGCAAAAAATCAGGATTTGATCAGGATTCAGAAAAATTATGAAATCAGGATTTAGCAGTGGAAAATCAGGATTTCCTGAAATGAAAAAAAGTAGACACCCTGTTTAAATTAAGTGTGACATCCAACTAAGTAAGTTTTCGAATTTTTGGCTTTTGGTCTATTGTTGATGATCAATAATTGACACGAAGTGTCCAAGGCACCAATCATGACCAAATCATTACATTCTTTGGGTTTTTATAAATCTAACAATGTCTTAATATTCTATAATTTTGTCAATTTTCATGTTGTCTTGAATTATCAATGCTTCACTATCCAAATAATTTATGTGTCTTATAATATAGAAAGTACTGAATCCAGCGTCTCAGCCTCCGAGCAGCAATGCACTCCTGTACGACAGTCAGTTTTGAAGAATGAAATGAGCCCACAGTATCCACATTTGTTCCGAATAAACGATGACGACTCTCCAGAGTTCAGAGTCGGATGGGTTGATGGAGTTTCAGGAAGTCTACCGAGGAAAGGTGTGTGATTAATTTGATTCAAAATAAGAAACTAAGCTTTCAAAGAATCCTCCAACTGTTTTTGTCATTGTATAGAAAAACAACAGTTGACAATAAATAAAGCATTGAGATGCACCCTAAAGTAAAAACTTGTGTGGGTGCACCAGCAAACTTGAAATGTAAAATTATTGACACTCTTCTTAAAATTTATTCAGTCACATTAATTCTTGCAATGATTATTAGAGCCAATGGTCACTTTCACAACATTGGAAGAATGTGACTTTTTATGTCGTAACTCCGGAGTTAGTCATCCAGCACAAAAAGAAGCAGGTTTCTGTAAAAACACGCGTCAGGAAATTTTAAAATGTGATCGAAGACGAGAAAATAAGTGGCAGATTCTTCACCATGAAATGATACTTGTCTCTTTCCAATGGTCTTCCACTTCTCATTAAAAAATAAGGAAGTGTACACGAAACACAGATTAAGTACGAAAAAGATATTTCCTCTCAATTGGTACGCTTTGTTCTTATCTGTCTCTTTTTCTGCAGAGAACACCTACCTGGAATCATCAATCACTTGCAGAAGTATTATATCTCAGCACATGAGAAGACCAACAAAAAGGATTGCAACCCCACCTCGACTGAAGCAGCATCTCAAGACTGCAGATGTAATGGAGTACATGGAATGGACTAAGAATCTAGTCAGTAAGTAGTCATAAAATCAAAGTGAACTTGATATATTTGAGTCAGAAGCTGTTAACGAAGTATATAATACCCACTGAAAATAAGATTTTTGACTCCCCACTCCACTTGTAACGTACCTGAAACACAGGTCTGTACTGCCCTGCCTAAGGAAATTGCTGTATGAGCATTCGAGAGTCGCCAAATTCCCTACGATAAAATGTTCATTTTTGAGGAACGTCATGAATATTTTCTCATGAAATTTTCTGATAACTTAGATCTGATTGCAGAAAAAATTATCCAAAAAATTGGAGGAAAATTAGCCATAGGTTTCTCTAAAAATATGCATTGTATCAAAAGAAATTTGGCAACTTCTGAAAGCTCTCACGGCGCTCTCCCTTGGCTCAGCAGTGTATTCCCCTAAAATAATTAACTGACGCTCTGCTTACTGTCTCCCCCCTTCCCTTCCCCTCAAATTGGTGCTCTGCGATTAATTTTGTGATAACCACCCATGCATCGTTTTTTTACTTTAATTTTCAATATATTTTAAAATGTCTGATCATGTTCTATTTTTAACACGAAAATCAACCAACAGTTTTTCTTGAAATTTCCTGTGATTAATATTTTTGAATGAGTGAAAAAAAAGTATAGAAAATTTCCTGACAAGCTATTGTTTCATTTCCTATTAAAAAAATAAAACATAAGCGGAGATTTCTAACGTTGCAATTGAAGATACGCACTTGGTGATTTTAGCCATCGATTCATGTTTCATCAAAATCTGAAGATTCCTTCAGTCGTTCAAGAGAATTTCAATTTCCTTCTTCTAGTTACTCCACCTACTTCTTAAATTTAATAAAATACTCACACCAGAAGTATTTAGTTTTTGTTGACAAGTATAAAATTTAATACAATTGGCAAAGCTTTCAGTCCGCTTACCTTGATTTCTGAGGTTAGGGGAAATCCCTCCTAAGTAAGAAAATAACAGATGGTGAAAAACAAGACTTTCTCCTTCCCTTCCTCTCCTGAGTGTTATGTATTTTATTATCGGCCCCTAGGGATTAGTGCACTCAATATTTCCTCTCTTTTTATTCTTATACTTTTATGCATTTACATAAGTGTAATATGGTAAGAGGAACAGCAGAGATTTTTCTGATGAAAGATATTTAGGTGTCAATATTAATTTTTCAAAAATTGATCCTTTTTTTTCGGATTGTTGAGTTTCAAAAAATCGGAATTTTTCTCTCAGCGAAGATGGATTGTTTCCCATACGAGATTCAATCAATGAAAAATGTTTATTTCAATAGGTGGCTCATTGAAGTTGAATTTAGAACAAAAAAAGTTTATAATTTGCTCTTTAGTGCACTATTTGCATAGTCCATAGCATGTATTTTCAAATTCTCTGTGGCCTTGAGCTTTTTTTATCTCAGTCACAACCAAGTACGTTTCCTGCTTGAGAGATGTGATGAAAATTAACCCATTTTTCTTCTGATTTTCATTCGAGTCATCTAATGTTTACAGTGGAAGCTCAGACTCCTTCACCCAGCGAACTACTTGCAGCCAATTCAGCTGAGGGTATCTCGGGCTGTGTCAAGGTAGAAGACGCTGTTACGGTAAAAGAAACTGCATCCTTGAGCAGGAGGTCACTGCCAGTTTCAACGATCGGCATGAAAGAGAATTTGGAACTGAACCGGAAGTCTCTACCTACGGAATCCAACTTTTCCAATTTCTTTGACGACTCAGCCAACGATGACATGTTCATGAAATGCAGTCAAGCTGTTGAAGATAGCTTACTCAAAGATAAACAGACCCACCAAATTACCTCCTCAAAACTGGTGAACAATAATAACATCGTCTCAGTAAAAGGTGCTCAGCCGAAGCAGCGGCAATCGAACCCTGCCAGGCCCAATACGTCGGGACAAGTTCCACATCAGTCAAAATCTAATTGTATCAGCTCAAACAAATTCCCTACGTATAAGTTACCCTCACAAGCAGCGAATATTAGTAATAAAGTACAAATCCCTGCAACTGCCAGTGTGAAACCTCCACAGCATGTCTCTGCTACAGCTAGACCGGGTGCAAGTACTGTGATTCCTTCAAAACTGTCCTCCGAGCAGAACTCATCGCCCAATTCTGAACCTCCTGCTTCATCAAGAGGTTAGTTACTTTTCAGTGTCTGTATAATTCTTTGCCTCAATTTTTTTTTCAGTACAGTGTTAAATTAGTTAGAGGTGACGTAAGATTAAATTAGTTAGAGGTGATGTAAGATAGAGGAGAGAAGTTTGATCAGTTCCGAACGCACTACTGAAGCTCTCAAAAAATTGAGAGTATGTTATTTTCCATGAAATTAGTTTAGCCTGGAAATAACTCGGATAAAATTATTTTTTTATCTTGGGCGTCAAAATTTGTGTCGGAAGTTGCCCATTTGTTGAATAGTTTACTTAACTTTCTTTCAATGGAAAAAACGTACAAAATGCTGTAAAATGGTGACCATGATCAAAGGGTACTCTAATCAAAGGTAACTTTGTTATTCATAGTGAGTATAATTCAGAAGTGCAAAAAGTTCTGCTCTGCACAGCTGGCCAATCAAGAAAAATATTTTGAATGCGAGGACAGTCGTTACACCTTGTCCATAACATTAAATCTTATGGAAAAACCAAACTTCCAACCTCTTTTTCTCATTCTGAACTTGATGCAACTTGGTGCATTTCTGTTAACTCAGTCCATATTACTATTAAATACAGAGGAAATTTTGAAACAGTGCAATGGAGATACTTTGGCCATTAATATGTATCAAATTTATCTGCCATTAATCCACAAATTGTTTTTATTTTCCAGAGCTGCGCACTGACATCGACCTCCTAGATGAAGATGAGGAGTTCCTGACCTCTTTGGACTTGCAAAGCCTGTCGCAAATGAATCTCCCCCAAAGTGCAATTCCCTCAAATAACAATTCAAGTGGAGGTTGCAGCGCCGCCCCTAATCCTTCAAGTAACACAAATGCTGCAGCTAAAGTCAATCAAAGTGCCACAGTCTCCGTAGCCAGCCGGAAAATTGTTTCTCTCCCTGCCAGCTCAAATATTTCAAACCGTACCACAAATCAAAATCAAAGAGTAACAGCACATACTGGAAAAATTTGTACACAAGAAGCCATTAAAAGAAAGCGTGAGGAAGCGCAAAGGCGTTTGAAAAGTAAAATGATGCGGCATGACACATTATAATTAAGTGTTCTGGGTGATCATTTTGCATATATCACAGAGATTCCAAGTCCGATCTTTCTGGTAATGGGCCACCAGACAATGTATGACTTTAAGCACTATGCAACGTATTAGCTTCTCAAAATTTAAGAGGAAAATGGATCACATGACGGGAAGTTTGAAAATCAACATTTGAACAAAATATCGATGACCAAAGTGTGAAACCTAGTTTTTTTTTCTTTATTAATAAAGTAGGTGACTACAAAAAGTATTAATCCTGGAAACCTAGTACCTCTCTTGTAGTGTTTCAAAATTGCGCCTCCTACTTTAATTTTTTTTAAGTGAAGCAAGCCAACTTAAGTTCAAAATTTTTGCAGAATATTCCTCTAACAGAGAAGATAAATCAAGGAAATTTTCAAGAAATTGCGTTCACTACCTAGTTTTGTTTTCCAAAGGAACAATATTGTGTGGTCAAAAGTCTGCAAGGTCAAAAATGAAGGTATGTGGTTTCGAACTTTGGCCATCAGTACAAGTGTTTACAATTAACATTAGTTAATGAGCAAAAATATAAATGACGTCATTCGTATAATCAGATTTTCATTTAATCTGTGTCGAACATACTTGTTCAGGAGTTGATTTTCAAACTTTAGAGTGTGTAAATTGTTTCCTACGTAAGATTTTGACAAAAAATTAGGTGCCTTTTCTCTGGCTCAGAACTTGTCTAGTGGCGCATTGGACTCTACGAAAGATGATTCTTTCGACCTCTTTACTATGTTTATTAAATTCTTTTCTATATTTTGTTAATGTTTTTGTATGCCTACTAATTTATGTAAAACTTGCTTGTTAAGAATGTCTCAAGCTTGTGATTGGCTGTACAAGCAGCAAAAATTTACATGTATGTATTTTCCTGAAACCTTATTGCATGATCATTTGCAAGATTTGGTTTGGAAAGCACCTCTTGTAGATTATTGTTTATATTGTTCTCTATACATCATTCTAGGTGTTCTGAGTTGTTCATTAAAATTGATTCATTTTCTGTTGGTATTTGAATTGTTTATCAATTTCCTCTGGTTTAATATATTCTGACTTCAATCATATACCCAGTGATAAGTTTGTAATGCAGACCTCTGTGCCAAGTCTAAGAGGAGCAAATTCATTGCAAAATATGGTACTTTCAGTCTCTAACTCTAAAAAAAGACGTACCTAGAGCCCAGAATCACTTCCTTTGTGAAAGAGAAGCGATTAGAATGGGCTTGAGCCAAGATGTAAATAAAAGCACAACACAACAAGTTTTTTCTTCAAAATTTCTCAAGGAATAAGAATCACTCAGCAGGAGATTTGGAAACAAACTTGTAAAAGAGATATCAACGGTGTAAATCGGCAATCACATAACTCGGTTTGCGACGTCGCAGACTTCTTGTCATACTTTATTTTTTAAATGGAAAACTACTCAACAGCAATTCTTTAAAACTGTCATGATTTTTCTTCTCAATTTGAAGAAAATTCTGCAAAAACTTCAAGAAATAATGTCAATTTGTTCTCTTTTAAAAAAATGACGTACAGACGGAGATTTTCAGACACCGCAAACCAGTTATGTGATTGCCGACTTTCACCGTCGATATATGTGTTTACAATTACCATAAATTAAATGGCAAAAATACCAGAGCCATCATTTGCACAGTCTCACTTCTACTTGATATTTGTTTAAAATCCCGTCCTGAAGTTGATTTCTTGACTTCTTGTCATGTGAATCGTTTCCTACTCAAGATTTTGAAAGGAAAACTTGTGACTTTTTTCCTGGTTCGGACCCTGTCTAGTAGCTCATTAAAATTGTCGTACTAGAATGAGAAGGGTCCATAACAGAGCCTCAGAAAAAGAGAGACTGCGTGCTTTCAAACTATACAATTCATTTTTCTTGAAATGAAAGAGATAAAAACTGTTTGTATTAATACATTACTTTTAATTGGATCAAAATATTGTATAAAAGATAAACATAACTTTCGAGCTTCAGGATACAAAAAGAAAAAAAAAAGACAAATCGCAAAAAATTTACAAGAAGGAGAACAGTTTTTCATTTTCTTCGTGAGATGTTTCAAGGGCACTCAGTGAGAGCAGCCAGACTCCAATCTGGTTTGATAAGTTGTGGTTCTTCTATCACAGCACCATTTGAATCCACGGTTGCCAAAAGGTACTGAAATATCAAAGAAAAAACAGAAAGTTAATGGATGAAATACCAGGATTTCTACTTGTCTGTCATAGTCTAAACTTGGTATTTTTTTTCATTTACTTTTTTTAATTTTTCCTTTCATGACATCTGCTAATTTTGGAAAAATCAAGTTATTCAAATTCTTAACGTACTTAGACAGAGATCTAAACATGTCAAGAAATTGATCATGATATCTGACACTTGGCTTAAGATACAAGTTTTTTAGAATTTGCAAAATACACTGCAGATCAAATACACTGGACAGGGTTGCCACAAAATTTAGTCAATTTTCTGATTCCTCTGGTAATTTTGGCCAGATGATTAAAATGACATACTTAATTCTAAATATTTTTTGCGAAAAATCTGTTGTTCGAAATGTTAAACCCATTTAGGATGTTAATGAACTTGACTTAAAAAATCTTCCTGACACTTTCATCATTATCCCTGACTTTTGAAAATTTCTTGACATGACGCGGTATTTTCTGACTGTGGCAATTTTGTCTTTAGTCCTTGACTGCAGATAAAGGTTAGGTTAAGCAATCGAAATTCAGGCAATAGTACCTTGGTTGCATTTTGCTGTACACTCTTGAGTAATGTGATCGTAATAAAAAGATGGTGTTGAAACCTTTTAAGTAACATTTGACTCGAATGACAAGAGATTTTGCACCATTCTCTCGGATAAACGTTTTAGAGGGTTGTGATTTTTAAATACTTAGCGTATGGACAATATTCAGTTGAAACGAAGAATAAGATTCCATTTACTGATGTTTCAACCCTTCTCTCACCCTCAATAAACAGTCCATGAATATAGAGGTCATTCTAGAAGTATGGAGTGCAGCAATAATATCCTGTTATTTTAAAGTAAGTCGATTCAGTCGCTCAAAAACTCACCTTATCGAAAGAACGAGCATCTCTGTAAAAGAGAATTTCCAGACTCTTCTTTACAACAGCTATTGCCTCTTCTTTGGAGGGCAAAGGTTTATTTTCTACTGCTTCTCTGAACAGAGGAGTGGCCAAGTGAGAACCGAATCCAGTGGCGACTTGTTTGTCTTCATAACCTGTTCCTAGCTTATCTACACAGGAAATATACCTAGAAAAAAAGGGGATGAAATCAATGGAAATTTAATTATTAGGATTTAATTATTACAGCAGTAAGCTGATCCCATAATGTTGTGCCGCAATCACACGCTGAATGTGGAAGTCAACAGTCATCACCCAACAGCTGAAATTTAGCAAATTCGAGTTATTTTCGTCCAGATGTGTATCAAATCTACTGGAATAGTTCAAACAAATTCAAAATTGGTCCGATGGTTGCTGAGAATCGTTGCTGAATTTTGAGCGTCACGCGCAGAATTCAGGCATCGGGCCGATGACTTCCACATTCAAGCCACATTCAGCTCCCACATTCCGCATGTGATTGCGGCAATGGAAAGAATTTAACATTTACTACCACAGTGGCACATCACTTGTATAGGGTTGAAGCCCTTGCTAATTGATCAAGACCTTGGACATCCAATCCAATTCCTATGTAAACCTGTAGGATTCAAAGGTGCTGACAGTGCTCAAAGGCACAGCCTTGGCTTGCCTCCATCGTGAAGAAATCAGTGAGTGAGGAAACTTCTTCTGTTTCCAAACAAACTTCATTGGCAGCATTAAATGAGCATGGAATATCTCTAATAGAAATATGACCATAGAAGAAGAAACTGAAGTTTATAAAAATGTCCTGTGAACTTTTCTGCCGCTCTAAGAAACAATAACACATGAACCTTTGGATGTTGCCAAAGTTCCTTTAATAAAATACTAATTTACTGGGCAAGTTGAGAATATTTTCCTTCCAATTTTTCAGACGATATTGTTCGCACTTTGATATAAAATATGTAACAACATCAAGGAAAAATATGCATAACTTCCTTTCAATATAAACGTTTTACCAGAGGAAATTTGGCAACTCTTACATGTTCATACGGCGTTTTTCCTTAAAACGACGGTATTGATCCCCTATCGGTGTTGCAAGGTTATTCATTTTGTCTGCACAAGACTTTCTTCAAGTTATCTAATAGGTTTTTCACTTGACTCAGTAAAGTTCGCAGACTTGCTCTGACAGGTACGGGGAATCGATGTCTAAGAGAGATAGTGAGTAAAAACTTACGGTTGGCCATCCTGCAGACCAGCAATGACGAATGTGTTCCAAAGTGGATCAAACTTGGAACGCCTTTGGTAGAGAACACGGGTCAGCCAACAGAACAAGGCTCTTGGTTTTATTGAGATGCCATCGTCTAAACACTCTTCTTCAATTCTGAGAACCAGGAAAAAAAGGCACAATTTGATGAGTAAGGAGTGCAATGGACATGCCACTGCTCCTGGAAATGGCAACTGACAGTCTAAAATACTTAAATTTGCTTTTAACTTGTCATTGCAACATAAAGGCCCATCTGGCTCTTTCTTCAAAGCCCGTATCATGCAATCTAAGTAGAGCCCTCAAAGTGACATCTTGTGGGCTCACGTGACCCCCATGGCGCCACTTTGAGAGCACAACTTTGATCGTATGATACAGGCTCAATAATTTTCAAACTTGCAAGGATGCTTTCTCAAACAGTCAGCTGTCTGTGGAATACATACATGTTAATTATTTAATGTTACATATTACATGTTTCCTTTCTTGAATTATATTTGTTTATTATGATTGAATAGGGCAGTGTATGAATGTGTATTGTCCTTGGAATTTTACTTACATTTTTTGCTTGATGATTTGCTGAAGGTACTGAAAATCGGCATAATCTCCACTGGCTCCAATGACAACATTGGCATTCACCCTCATTATTCTAGGACAGTTTTTGAATCGCATTAATGAGCCGTAGGAACCTACAAGGTCAGCAGCCATTACAACACCTCCCTCATATGATAGGGCTAACACAGATGTAACGGTGGTCAAAGGGGTGCTGAAAAATGAAAAATAAAATTTAGTATTAAAGGGAAACTAACAACAAAAGTTGGTAAAAATCAATTGGAAAATCTGAGCAAGAAGCCGAAGTTAGTCAGCAGTAGCTGAGATACTTTAGGAAATGCTCAGTCAATCCATTAGCCTTAATGTCAGAGATTGAAGAGGCATTATGGTGGTGATAGAATGATTCTGTTCTTCAAAGTTTTGCTGGTTGATTTTGATGAGGTGGTGTAGGTTGCTTCCGAAGTAAACTTTGGAAATGCCCCTGCAGAAAAAGAAAGTTCAGTCAGAGCAGCAGCTAATACTCCAAGTTTCTTAAAGATCCCCTTTGGATTACCACTGCTAGAGAATATTGGTGAGTGGACGTATATGGTTGTTGCTGCTTACTAAATACCAGCTATAGTCTCACCTGCATTGAATGACTCTGTACCCGCCACAGACATACCATAAGAATTATAACTTATCATTTTGGGAGCATACTAGTGCTGAACATGAAAAAAGCGAACCATGATTAGAGAGGCTACAACACAGCCAATGCTATAAGGACCATATTTCAGTTACTTAAGTCTATTTTAAAATGTTGATTCACGGTGTGAACTATGGCCCAGTCCAGGCCATCTACCTTTTAGTCATGATGCATCTTCGCTGTGACACTTCATAAAACTAGTTGTGGCTGAGATAAACCCAGTGCATCAAAAGAGTGAAGGAGAAGTTAGACCCTTGTTCAGTATTTATCGGCAGCCTCGCCATTGAAATTTACGTACTTGGGTGCAACAAGACATTGCACATCAATAGACAACAACGCACAGGGAGGCCTAAGTATTGCCTGATCTTGCCGAAAAAGCCAGAGATAGTCTAAGAATCAGGTAGCTGAAGACCTGATGCAACGGCGTTACCAAGCAAGCTCTGGCAATAAGTAAACAGTAAATCGCTGATACTTGCATTATCAGGGCGTTACACAACATGTGCCTTGCTAGGCTAAAACTTAGGATTGCGATGTGATCAGGAGGCCAAAAATAGTCTCTGCCGAGCAAAACATGAGAATTGATAAAGAAATAAGGAAGCGGCCGATAATTTTGGAATCATGACAGTGCAAATATAGGTTAGGTTACTTACTGAGCGCGAGTGATAAAACCTCTGTCGATATCGGGCTGAAAATTATAGTCGTCTACGCCTCTGAAACCTCCAAAAGAATTTCTTGAGTCATTGAAACCATTGTGAATTGTGCCACCGTAGAAATTCATGATTAAAACTTATAAAAACACCGATCGACAACAGACTTGAATTTGAATGAGGTTTTGAACGTAAACAATGATAGATATAGCCATTGGTTCAAACATTGACGTATAATACAATCTAGACCGCGCATTACGAAATTCAAACGAGACGATAGGCAACCCAGCAACACACAGTAAGTGTACCGGCGAGACAATGGTGGAATTCCTGGAAATGTCAGTCTTGCCAGTGCCGTTGCCTGATACGGGTACACTTAGCTCGTATATCCGGCGGTATCAACTAGGCTGAAGGCGCGTCTTTACCCCCCTAGCTGTCTTACCTTCCCCGCCTAAAGTCGGGCCCAATGCGCGGTCTAGGTTCAAATGACTACATTTTCCCAATTATTCCTCTTTTCGAACAGAAGGAATCTTAACCGCAAATTCTGAACCAGACGTTTTGATTGGCCCAGAGCGGTTCATTCCAATTATTCCGAGTTGAACCAAAACAAGCGGGAATTTCAAATAATTCCGGATATCCTGTCTACCAAATTGTTTCCGTTTCCGGTAAACAGTGTTGTCAGTTTTATTTACTAAATGCTCGTAAAACTGATAACACTGTTTACCGGAAACGGAAACGATTTGGTAGACAGGATATCCGGAATTATTTGAAATTCCCGCTTGTTTTGGTTCAACTCGGAATAATTGGAATGAACCGCTCTGGACCAATCAAAGCGTCTAGTTCAGAATTTGCAGTTAAGATTCCTTTTGTTCGAATAGAGGAATAATTGGAAAAATAGGTTGTAAAAATTATTTGTTTACATCCAAATCCAGAGGTTAGGTTGATTTGTTTATGCAGAAATGTATCCGAAAAGAGAAAGTGAAAGTGGCGACTTAGGACTTGAGGAAGTGCAAGTGCATGAAGTATGAAAGTGAGAAAAAGAAAGTCAAACAGTTTTACTCCTCTTTAACCGTCTTCGTTAAATTTGTTTCCAGGTTTTTACTCTAAGATTACTTGGATATTTTGTTGCCGTTCCATCTTTACGATGGAGAACACAATGGATGCAGTATTTGATGCATCAATGTCTCTCGTCGGAGAATTCAGCAACTTCGATGGGAACACAGACGACAGAAATAAACTGATCTGGTCCTTCCTAGAAAAAATACACCGTGATAAAAATCTGGATAAAGTTTCAGATTTTCGAAATGGTATGTAGTCGGCGAATATGTTCCTCTATTGGCGTCCTTAGCGTATTATGCCTCAACTGTTTCTCTTTTCATCTGTTAAGAATGCCACTCAGAGAATTCGGTACACTCTAACATGAAAAGTGATGGTTATTTTAATCATAGTTTGATGTCTCAACTGCAGAACCACTCTTAGTCATTGCAATTTGTTAAAATTTCTGCAGATACTTTACTTTTTGATAAATAAGAAACCAACGTGCTTGTTTGACGTTACAAAATGACCACATACCTGATTGCACATTCTAAAAGTAAATCAGAAATATTTTTCAGGAAGCTACAATGTGGCTTAGCTAACCTAACATAAAATGAAGTACTTACCTACGAGTCTCTGCACCATTCACTGCATTTTACTTGAGTGTATTTATTTATAGTAAGAGTATGGACACTGATTCATCCGTGATTGGTTCAGCTGTAATAGGCTTCATTAGAGCTGTTCGGTAGCTGGGAAATAATGGACGTTGCAGGCAGATGATTTAAAACTGCATTGTGGAAGTGAACTGTTTGGGACTGTTTGGAAACGGAATTACCGTATTCTAAACGGTCAGTGATTTTCAATCCAATGATTTCAGGAGAATGTTCTTCTTTAAATGGTCGATAAGTCTCACAATGGCATTGAAATCGAAAGTTCCTTTTGTTTCTTGCACCTAAATTGGATCCGAATGGTTGATTGGGGTGTCACTTTTTTAATTCTTTTTTTTCTCTTTCAGGCTTAGAATGGATGAACACAACACAGCCTTTATCTCTTCACAAGGACTTAACAGGGAAAATAATTATTTTGGATTTTTTTACGTATTGTTGCATAAATTGTATGCATATTTTACCTGACCTCAAAGCTCTTGAGAATGCATTTCCAGTTGAGAGAGGGCTTGTTGTTGTAAGTATTTTAGTTTTGCACATTGCAACTACCTTAATACATGATTACTTAATTACCTATGAATTTTAAGTGTCATTTGGGTTGTAAAAAAAAAAAAAAAAAAAAAAAAAAAAAAAATTAGGTGCTTAAGTAAGAAATAAATATTTTGCTGTTTTTTAAATGAAGGAACATAACTTTGAAGTCTCAACAATCTAATTTTCTAGGAAAATATAGATGAATAATTTGTTGCCCAACATTTTTCATCTTTTTGTGTGTTATCCAAAGGAAACTCAGTGATATTTTCAATCGGACATGCACAACTGATTCCTTGGAGAAAAGCGATCTGTGATAGTAAATTTTGCAACTTTGATGCAGTTATGTTTTTTCATCTGGAAAATGAAGATTTGTTTCAAGAGTTCATCATCTGCCCGTCTGCCCTAAGTACGGAAAAATGAGGGCTAAAGAGGTAAAAGAAATAAAGGAGAGAGAAAAAAGGTGAAAGCTTTGCTGCATAATATGCAAATGCAGCAATCAATGCTTCATATGGCAATTTCTACTGGTCTGATATTTTTTCATTTAAGAAGGGGTAGATTTTTGGCTGCTAAAACTTCATGAAATGCAAAATGAAGCCAGCTCCTCACTTATATTGTACGTATGAAACATGAGAGGGGAAAAACGAAAAAAAAAAAAAAATTGTGTAACAGCAACGTTTTCAAAATCTTTGCTAAGCTAAAATATCACTATTGCAATCAAATTGCAATCTCAGTAAAAATATTAACTATCCAATCACTGGCAGGTCTCTCACTTAAAAACTTCTCTTGGATATAATTCTGATTCACTCAAACGATCTGTCTCTTACTCATATTAACAATGGCAATTTAATTTGCCATTTACCTTCATTATTTGGAATTTATTTTAGCTTTAATTTTTGGTAGCACATTGATCAACCCATATTCCAGTGGCCTTTCGTGAGCGTTATTTTAAACTAAATTTTATTGATACTTCACAAATTGGAAATGAGCTGACTGTACCTTTATCCCAATGGTAGGAAGGCCTGTTCTTAAGTAATGTACTAAAAGTAATGATTCATAACATTTTTATTCTCATACTTTATGTATAGAAACTGCCCGAACGATGGGAAAATTATGTTCACCAAAAGTATAACGTATAAAATGAAAAGAAAAGAAAAAAAAGTAGGAGCAATAGAGCAGTGAGAGCAATGCACAATGAAATGGGAGCATAAACGATATAAAAAAAATAGTGTATTTCCTTCGGAAAATACACTAACATCTGAAAAATACAAAATATTTATGCTAAAGATATCTACTGTACATTTTCTGTTTCATTTTCTTTAAAGTAATGTCATATCCATTTTTATTTAGTCATCCTTTCCCTTCAAACAGAAATTTTCTTCGGGCAGTTCTAACAAGTTCCAGGTTAATTTAAGTAAATTTGAACGAAAAAATTTGACTTGCTGATCTGATATTGCACTTGTGATTTATAAATTTGTTGGTGCACTCAACAGATTGGTGTTCACAGTGCAAAGTTTGCAAATGAGCGTAATACTCAGAACATTGTCGATGCTGTCCAGAGGTATGAAATATCCCATCCAGTGGTGAATGACAACGGGGAACAAATGTGGCATCATCTATGTGTTAACTGCTGGCCAACTCTCATCGTCATCGGTTTGTGCCTTGTTAATTTATTTTATTTTGATGATAAAAAAAGAGGAAGTAGAAGTAGAATAAGAGGGACGGCCATGGTGGATAATCACCATGCAAACTTTGGGTGGCAATGGCACCCCATCAAACGCAGCAAACGAATTTCCGTATTACCTTGGCTCTGTTTGGGACCTTCAATATGTCCCATGGGCAAGATAATAAAAAAGCACATTTTGTACACGGTAATTCCTTTGTAATTCTATTTCAATGCTGATGTGTCCTAGTGTCTCTGGTTTTTTCCCTCCTTTTTTCCATGCAAGCAAGTGCTGTCAAATAGTTTTTTAAATGTCAGAAAAATTCTATTCAATCGAGAATATTTTTGCAAACTGAGTGCAACAAATTAAGCATTTTCAGCGTTACTCCCTTACAAATAGTTTTCCTCCCCAGTGATACTGACAAAACATTTATTTGTGCGTTTATTTTGTGTTATTTAGCTCCAGATCTTCGTCCACTACTTGTGCTGCAGGGAGAGGGGCACCGTGCTCTTCTGTTTGCCTTGATTGAGAAAGCTGTTGAGTTCTATACTAAAGAGGGTATTCTATCAAATCATAGACTTACTCAAATTCAAATCACCAAATCATTCAATGCCTCCAAGTTGTCTTACCCTGGAAAAATTGCCACTCACGAAAACAGTGTCACTTTTTCCGACTCTGGTAATCATCGAATCATCCTCATCCAGAAATTTGGTTCAGCAGAGGAAAAAATCGTAAGTGATCAACTTCATGGTTTTTTCCCGTTTTTTATATTTAAAATTCAAGTCACTTGTCATATTTTTACTTTAGACACATTTTACTGTCACTTAGTATCAATAGATAAGAAGTAAAACCACGTATCTCCACTTGCAATGTCGCAGACTTTATTTTTCCTGCAGAAAACTAGTCAACATAATTTATTGAAAACTTCCGTGATTTTTCTCCTCAGTCAAGAGAATGCTCTGTATAAATTCCAAGCTCCAAAGTTTGCTTATTTCTCTTTTGTATAAGTAAAAGAGGAACATACATTTTGAAACACCGCAATGGAGATACTTTATTTGCACTTTAGCCGTCATTTTAAGTAACAACTGCGTGCAATAATTTATCACCCCAAGAACAAATCTAAAATAGCAGCGAGGTTGGATTTTTTCTAATGTATACCTATATTAGATTGTACTGATTTCTCAGTATTAGGCAGCTTTCAGCAATCTAAAGGTTAATATTACTTACATCCTTTAAAAATTTAAAATTATAAATCCTGGAAATGCAGGTCTAATTTTTTCTACATTTCATTTTAACTTAAAATGGAACAAGTATTGAGCTCAGATTTCAATGATCTCAGTTTTTTATTTGAAGGAGCAAAAACGCCCTATCTTATTTCATCAGTACTGTCTTGCTAAGGAAAAACGCTGTATAAACATTCATAAATTGCCAGATTTCTTGCGTTGGGATATTTATTTTTAAGAAAATTTAGAAGGATCTTGCCTTGAAATTTTCAGATGGTTTAGATTAAATTGCAAATGAAATCTTCTGGAAAATTGGAAAGAATGTACACAAATTTCCCTGAAAATACTTATTTAATTAAGGGAAATCTGGCAATGCCTGAAGGCTTACATTGCAGATCCTACCTTGACAGAGTAGTTAAATTGCAGACTGAACTAATCTCACCAGTGTTAGCAAAGGCAAATCTAGCTAAGCATGGTAGTTTTCATTCATGTAAGGTATATTTTCTTTTTGTAACTTTTCAATCATCCCTACTTTTGAGGACTATCTTTCAACTATATTTTTTCTAAACCTTTCACCTGTTTCCTAGTTTTTTTTTAGTATTTAATAACTATTTTTTATCAAAATTCTCTTCTAGCTCACAATCGGTGGCATTGTCAGTGGCTTTAAGGACGGATCCTTCTTAGATGCAAGATTTCACTCTCCACAGGGTGTAGCTTTTTTGGATGATAATACTATAATTGTTGCTGACACCGAAAATCATGCTCTCAGAAAGGTTAGTTTCTGTATAGCACAAGTTCAAATTGCCTGGAAAAATAAGCAAGTAATGGAATACAATGTAGTAACAGTTACTATGAGTTCGCCACCGAGAAATTTGGGAAATTTTGTTATTAGATGCCTCTACTGCAATGTTTGAATATTCTAATTAGGACCCCAAATCAGTTCATGGATTTCTATTGCTTCTTACCTTCATAATTTTCAACTGATTCCCAAAGTGGGATGAGCAAAGAAAATTATCGAAGTCATCATCTTTTTAGTCCTAGAAAGATGTATAGCTATATTGCCATGACTGATAGGCTGTTGTGCCGGTCCTGCCCTCTGCAGTATGCAACATATATTCAATGTTTATGATTTTACCCTCTTTATGTTTTCTACCTTTTTTAGATTGATCTGAAATGCAACAAAGTTGAGACTCTCTCAGGCACTGGTGCTCAGGGATTTAACAGAATAGGCGGTAAAAAGGGCACCAACCAAATCCTCTCTTCCCCGTGGGACGTTTGTATAAATTCAGAAAAAACAATTGTTTTCATCGCGATGGCAGGTTTACATCAAATTTGGGCGTACTTTCTAGCAGATACGTCATTGTGGGGCAGGTAATTTTTGATTTATTGATTTAGCCTCATTTTACCAGTGTTTGCTCCTACAGCACCCTTCATGTACAGATGTGAGGAACAAATATTTGGACGTATTTCTATCAAACGGAACTAAGCGCCATAGGAGGAGGACGGGAGAAAGGAAATGAAGGAATTGAAGGGAGAGGGGGGCTTGGATTGGCGGGTGTTGCAGTACGCGATGCTCGTTCCGTCCTATTCTTGCAATGCTTTTCCATGGCGCTTAGTTCCGTTTGACAGAACGTGCTATCTGGGATTCTAAAATCCTCAAAAGGAACTTAATTTGGCGCTTAGTTCCGTTTAACAGAAATACGTCCATTTGTTTGTCTCGTGAATGATTTATGTCCTATTTTGATACCTGTTAATTTAGCTATTTTTGCTGTTGATAATAGCAAATGAAATATAGAGGTTAAACTGTCCCGATCTACCAGGGGTGCAAAAACTTCTTGACTTCACGATCAGATGGTTGTAGTCAGTTGTGCACGGAAATGAGGAGGTTCATCAAATGAGTTTCATAAATGGGATTAAAAGGAGCCTAACTTTCTATGTATACAGTATGTTGGAGTTTTTTTTGCCAATGTGGGTTAAGAATTCAGAATAAAATTGAAAATTTCAATACAGAGGTAAAAAGCTCATATGAGCACAGTTTGCCCTCAAAGAGATATGCTGTTTGGTGCAACACTAGTTACGTCCATTCAGGAAGGCAACTGCAGATGCGTTTCGGCCTTGTTGGGCCAATCCTCAGTGCAGTGTAACCTCCTGAATTTTCTGCTACCGAGCTCGAAAGGTCGTGAAACCAGCCTGAGACTTGGGCAAGCAGACACTGGCAGCAAGTAAACTTGCGCCATCTAGTGAGCCATTATCCAAATTTTTTATAATTGATTTTTTCGCTGTGTAAAGTAAAGATTTTTACATTCAGAGCTATTTACTCTTTAGAATGTTACTTTTTATCACAAGTTAAGTTTTTTTATTTTTCATTTTGCAGGTCATACAGTCAAGGAGTCTGTGCTGCAGTTGCTGGAAACGGGAAAGAAGAAAATCGCAACAACCTCTACCCAATGTCAAGTGCTTTTGCTCAGCCATCTGGCATATGTATTTCGGAAGAAATAAATGCCATGTTTATTGCAGACAGTGAAAGTTCATCCATTCGAGCTATCGAACTTGGAAGTGGCAAAGTGAAGGCAGTGGTTGGAGGCGCCAGAGATCCGCACGTATGTGTCATTTACCATCCATTGTCTTATTTTTCAATGATGTAAAAGATCAAAATGTTCATTAAAACGACGCATGATCTACAGAGATGTGTGAGGTAATATGTCAATGAATCACTAACATTAAGTCAGTTTTGCGGGTCATATAAGCATGATTAATTGAATAGTCTTCAAGATCTGTCCAAATTCCAAGTTTCTATTTTTTAATTGAGACATAATGATCCATGAATCATGCCTCGGTTTTTTTCCTTGTCTTCGTCAACTAGTAACGTTTTTGTTGGTATAAAAAAATCCCAGGTAGAATAAATCAGGATATGCATCTTTGCATTAGGAGGTGGGTGAGGTAAATCACAGTGCTTACGAAGACACATCACAGTTGTCATTGTTTGTGAAGTTTTCAAGTCAAAGCATTGCTTGGGATTCTATGATTTTTACTCTTCAAACTGGTTTCCGTGATGGAAAAGAAAAAAAATTAACACTTTCTTGAAGTGTGGCGCAAAAAATAATAAGTTACTTGAGCATTTCATTCAGTCAATGTTATAATACATTTTTGTTATTTCAGAATTTATTTGCGTTCGGTGATACTGATGGAGTTGGCACAACGGCACAGTTACAACATCCTCTAGGAGTGACGTGGAATCAAAATAATCAAAAGTTATATGTAGCAGATACATACAACCACAAAATTAAGGAAATTAATGTCAAAGAAAATAGTGCTCGGACTTTAAAAGTTGATCAAACTGTGAGTTATTACTTTTATCCTTGATTTTATATTGTTGTCAAAATCCTGAGTTTGTAGTAATGTACATTAAAAGTTAACTCCAAATATGGATCTTTTGCTCTTAAGAGATGCAGCCAACTAAGTAGATACTTTTGGGGGAAAATTGCACAAAAATTACATCGAGCACAATAGCAATCTCTGGAATGCACTTTGAAATGCTTGATTTATGTATTCAATATCTTGCATTTTTAAACTTACATTTCTCTTTTTTGGAAATTTTCTTCTTGGTAGCCGGCAATCAGGTTTGTCCAAAAATATGTGTCAGAAAACCGAACATAACTAAACAAACAATCTTGTAAACTGTCATAAATAGTTCTCCACAATCAGAATGGAGGACTTACAGACAGCGCCGTGCCATTAACCGTAATATATTTTGCCCGGAGCAATCAACAGTAAGAAACATCAAAGACAAAAGTAGTCATTATAACTGACCTGGCAGTGAACATTTCTAGCTTAACCAAGGCATCAAAAGAAGTAAATATAAGTTTATTCTGATTCAACTTTAATGCAAGTATGTCATCTCAACAATGAGATGCCTTAACTAAATTTGTCCATGACCATTCTTCAATATGTTACAGCTGAAAGAGCCTACTGGATTGTGCTGTTTCGGGCAGAAAATGCTCATCGCAGATACAAACAATCATCGAATTCTAAAGTATGATCCTGAGTCTGGAAAAACTGAGATTGTAAGTTTTTTTTTGCAAGGCTGTATTTCTTTCAATCAAATTTTAATGTACAAATGGAATAAGCCAAGTTTTGCTTTAATTTATGATTAGACAATTTTTTTTTTTGGACATTCTTTTAAATATCAGTTGTTGGCAGTTGCTGTTTTTTTTTTTACTGGAACTTCTTTCATGCGTTTTGCGGAGAGCTGAATGGCAAATAACAATAAGTGATATGAAAATATTTAATGAAGAAGTCTATGATCTTTTAGTAGAAGAAATAGGGAAAAAAAAGAATGAAAAAAACTGAACACTCTGTGCAGCAAGAAGTGAGTGCTTCCATGATAAAAACTGCAATATGGTTGCCACTCAATCTTTTATTAATTTCAATTAATAGTTTTTTGCTGCTGAAAATGATCCTGTGACAACTCGAAGTACGTTAATTTTTTAGTGTTTTAATATTTTAGCCTTAGTTTACTTATTTTTTTAATTTGTTGTTTTGTCTCATACTGAGAGGTATGGCAAACAATGTTTTTATCCGGACCAGTTTGGAATTAATTAGTATACACGTTCCTTAAGGCTTTAAACACACCACATTTTAATTTTCAAAATTTTAGGTGTTCTCACAAATGATAAGCAATCTTGAGTGCTCATGAATTCTGTGTTCCACATTTCGCATCTCAATGAATTTTCCCTTTTGAATTTTCTGTCATGAAAATATAAAATGAAGCAATGTACAGCTTCCCTCAATTTTTGTTTTTGTTGCAAATTTCTATCCACTTGTAACTTAAAAAGCTTCAAAGAATGTAGTACATAGGGAAAAACTTGTGCTTTTTTAAGAAAAAAGACAATATTTTGCTTTTAATTCTCTTCTCTTAATGTTTCCGATCATCTTATGTTTTTTACAATCGAGTTCCAATGTTGGTTCCAGGTTAATATCAAACTGGAGGCCTGCAAGCCCAGCGCTAAATGTAAAAACATTGTGAAGCAAGACAAAATCTCGCTAAGTCCCAAAGGTGGCTCTCTCAAAATGAACTTATCCGTGATTTTACCTAACGGCTGTTCAATTACAAAAAAAGCTCCATCTAAATGGCTTCTATCTCCCCCTGGTAAGTTTTCTTTGTTATATTTCAGTAAATTTTAGTAAATTTCGCTCTCTATAGTTTTAAAGGTGAAGAAACTGGAAGAGCCCCGTATCTCGATTGTGGTGTCACAAAATTTTCCCCAGGCGAGGATGGTTGCGCAGCGTGGGAAACAAGAAGGCTGGATTTATTGTTTACCTCTGGCCAATTGCATCTATTCCAGACACAGCAGAATGACTATTTTAAAATGTTCCTTTCATTCTAGGGTGTACATGTGAGAGTACTCCTACCCTTATATTTGATGATCATTGTGCTTTCGGAGTCTTTTGACAGACATGTGACCTCTCGACTAATCAGAAACTAGAATGCTGTCATGCAATGTTGGAATTAATCGATCAGTCTGGCTTTTAACCTATATGAAATTAGAATTTTTTGATGTGATTATGGAGGCTTATGGACAAGCGTAAAATTTCTGCGAGAAGATAAGGTCCAAATTTTCAACTCACTTACAACCTCTGTTACAACAAAGTAAAATTTCCCCTGAGCGACGGTGTTCCTACAAAATTCAGTTTTTATGTTGGCAGCAATGACAACATCCAAAATTCTTCTCGGGAAATGGGTTGAGGAATAGATAGATGCAAACATTGACCACCATTTATTAAACCGCAGGCTTCAGTTCTTGTCTTCTTGGGAATGTTTTTCTTCGTTGGTTGGCAGTCCTGTCAAATCAGGTTTGAAAGTGAACCAATAGAAATTTCCCCAAGGTTTTTCTACTCACTCTTATTCTCCTCCCCGTTTGATTGTTTCAGATACATGGAAAACCATTAAAGCCGGGTCTGAAGAATTTCAACTGAAGGAACAATTTGAGTTTCAGGTGCCAGAACAGAACACAGAGATTAAAAGCTCAAACTTAACTGCCCAAGTGCCTTTGATTATAGAATGCTTTGTCTATTATTGTACTCCAACATCAACTTGTTCGCAGCATGAATTTTCTATTCTGCTGGAAGTATCCTATGAGGAAGAAGCAAGTTCAAACGCCTCATATGATTTCAGTCACAGTATAATTTCGTAACGTCACTTCAGTCAATCCAACGATTATTAAAATATAATGGCTAGGGCTTTATAAGTTGCAATTTTTTGATAGATATGTTTTGCTTTGAGAGTATTCTCAAAAGTGATGAGCTTTTAGAACTTGATGAATACAGAGGGCTGAGGAACAATACTCCATACCTAATTGATCATTCCGGCAAGGATGAGTTGGTGACTTAGCGACGTTCCAAAGTATAAAATATCCCGGCTGATGTTTTTAGTTTTTTCCAATTTCGCATGAGGGCGCTGTAATGTATACAAAACACAACACCTGGAGTCTGACACTCTAAATAAAAAAATAAAAATTGCAAATCCAACCTCAAAATTACAAAAGTGGTGAAGTTTTTCTTCGTCCTGTAAAATCGTCAGTTTTCAGATAGGCGGCACTCTTCCTTAGCCATTGAAATTATTTTTGCGCTATGCAGGATGTCCATTGCTTAAATTGCACAGGCTGGACCAACAAGATTTTGCAACTCAAGAAAGGGTCATATTCATAGTCAAGTGGTGAAGTTTTTCTTCGTCCTGTAAAATTGTCAGTTTTCAGAGAGGTGGTACTGTTCCTTAGCCATTGAAATTATTTTTGCGCTATGCAGGATGTCCATTACTTAAATTGCACAGGCTGGATCAACAAGATTTTGCAACTTAAGAAAGGGTCATATTCATAGTCAAGTGGTGAAGTTTTTCTTCGTCCTGTAAAATTGTCAGTTTTCAGATAAGTGGTACTGTTCCTTAGCCATTGAAATTATTTTTGCGCTATGCAGGATGTCCATTACTTAAATTGCACAGGCTGGATCAACAAGATTTTGCAACTTAAGAAAGGGTCATATTCATAGTCGTTCCATAAACATTAAGGCCTTTACAAGTCGTAGGGATTGCATCGGTTAAGGATGCTGTAATGTTTGAGAGACGACTATGAATGTGACCCTAACCCTTCGTATTTTGAGTTTTAAGGTATATAGAGCGCAAGGCATGCAAGTTGATGACACAACAATCGGTCAAGGAATTCCAACCTAGTTCCTTTGATGGATCGTCGCACATTGTCGCAAACTTGCACGCCTTGAGTGCTGTACCTGTAGCTCACCAAGATTTCATTAAAGTGAAAAAAGTTCCTAATAAACAATCGATGCAACCTCCTAAGTGACACTGTTAGTTTTTACGAAATTCTGCATTTCTTTTAAGTACCTATCCAATCAAGGCATGCCTTTCTCTCAAGTGAAAGCTTCTGTACTTAATCATTTACTAATACTTAAAATGGTTGTAAACCTCATGAAGGGAATGTGCAAAGCATGAAAAAAACCAAACGTTCAATAATAGTAGTTTTTATAAGTTATTTTTTTTATATTTTATTGATTGATATTGTTAAATTATTACAGTTTATACTTTGAACTGATGATGGAAACATGAGTTAACAAGAACTTACTAAGAAAACACAAATATATTTTCATTGAATTAACAATTTTCTCTATTCCAGTTCATTTTTTTTTTTTTTTAGACATTACACAATTGTTTTGAAAGCTAGCCTATTTCAATTTGGGTTAGCTTTTATAGGGAATGGGCTTGAGTTTATTCTTGTATCGTAGATGACGCATTAAAGATCATTGAAAAAACCAAATTTGCACGTACATTTCTGAGGCGAATGTGTAAAGAAAAAAAGTGTAAAGTGTTAACATCTAAAAAGAAGCTGAATTTTTGATCAGTAAAGAGTTAAATGCGTAAGTTTGTTGATCAATCAGCCAATATTTTAAGTGCACAGATTGTAAAAACCGGAGTAGAAATCATAATTTTTTAGAGTAGCAAGCAGTTCAAATAATTTTTTCTGAGGTCAGATACCATAAATTCGCGGTTTGCTCAGACTATTTATCCAACTGATAAGATAGAAATATCGAATGCTACTTTTACTGGTTCCTAATCTCAAGACAACTCACCTTACACTTGCTTGATACAGCAATTTCCAAGCAAAAAATTCATATGACTGTGAAACTGTAAAAATATGTATCTCGGTTGCCATGTTCATTTTTATCTTTTTTTTAAAAAAAAAAAACAGAACCAACATCACTGCTTGAAATTTTTACACAATATTCTTTAGATAGATTAGAAAAATCACTGAAGTTTTGAGAAAATGGCGTTTAATAGTTTTCTTTGTAGAAAGTTAGGTATGGCAGGAGCTGCAACGCCACGAACCGAGAAACGCATTTCTGCAGTTTCACCATTGATATGGCAGTTCTTAAATGAAACTTTTACAAAATAAACATTTAAAAATCAGCAAAGCTAACAGACAGCCTCGCTCTGAAATTTTTAGGAAGAAATTTCAGCTTCAGAAAACCACTTTCATAATAAAATTTTAGATTGAATCTTGATGTTTCTGGGAGAAATGATAAAAATGTTGAGAAAATATCAATATATCAAATTTTTGTGTACGGTGTGTATTTCTAATATCTGCTTAAGGAATATCTAATTCCAGTGCTTGATGAGAAACTAGGTTTTTTCTCAAACACATATACAATTCTACACAGTAGATTACATTAAATAGTAACAATATTTACACAAATATACAATACTCAACATCAATATTTCCATAAAAAGTATACATTTTAATTTGATGTTGGCTAACAATAAAATTTCTTGATACTTGAAATGAAGAGATTCTTAAAATGGTGGACACGGCAAGGAGTTAAGTCCAGATATAATACGGAGTATTTTAAAGGGCAATTCATTGATGCCTCATCATAAATTGGCATTGTTTTTTGGAAGGGAATCACATAAAATTATCTGTTGCCAAGTTTCATTAGACTATTTTTTTAACAAGCAAATAGTTGAACCAGTTCAGGTGAAAAATTTTCCGGTAACTGGCTCTATGGCATAAAGGAAATACTCTAAAATTTTCAAAAGAATCAGCAGGACCATTTTCTTGTAAAAAATAAATTCTTCAATGAAAGTTGACAACAACCAATGAACTTGGTTTCCTTCCGAAAAAGTCTGCTTAAATGATGTTAACTGAGGACACAAGAATGTCTGATCGATACAATTTCACAGCAAGTCATGGCAAAACTCCGAAATTTTTGAATGCAATATAGATAAGAAAAACATATCTGCTGTAAAATAACACAGCTAAACACTGGGAGATGCCTCAAGCACATTAAAGTAAACAATACATCTTTGGAGAATGAGGATAACTTGGCAATCAGTAAATAATGGTAAAATAATCACATGCCTAAAAAATTTCATGCAGAACAGTATTGAATATAATTCGGGTTGTTTCTCTTGGTCGATTGGCTTTGATTTGCGTAAATACTTTTCAACAATTACTCCAAGGAGTTCAACATTAGAAGTTGTTTCAGAACTTTGGTTTGGCTTGTTTCTCTGATCTCTCCCGCTAAAAACATTTCGTCGACTACTGTGTAAACCTGAGAACAAGAGAAAACTAAAATGAAACCACGCATAGAATAGCAAAGATTATGAGCATAAAACAAATTCTCCCAACAGCTGAGACACTTGGATCAGGGTTGCCACAGATTTTAGAAAATGAAATTCACTGACTCATTTATTAAAATTCACAGACAATTGAAAATATGCTAGATGGTTGAACAGTCATAACTTGAAGTAGTTTTCAGGCAAATTTTCGTTCGAAATGCCAAACCTATTGTAAAAAGTAAATAAAGGGACTTAGAAATTTTTTCTGACACTCATAATTTTCTCTAACTTTTGAAAATTCTCTGACATTTCCCGGTTTTCCTTGATGAGGGAAACCATTTGAAGAGCTGCAAGATTTCCCTCCCTTATCCGCAAAGGCGATCATTCCCTTAATGATTATTCTCCTTACTTCTCCACTCATAATCTATAGTATGATGGATGGTTGTTTAATTGGCAGATGACTTGAAAGTTTATCCAAAGCCATTTCTAAATTTTGCTACACTGGTATTGGTAATCAGTAAGAAATGGGTGATCCGTACTGCCTGCGGCTAGGCCCATGGAGACTGCTTTGCCTGTCTACCTAAGCTCACTACAACTTCTATGTTTAAAGGATTGCTTTGGAACAACTAAAAAAATTTAAAAAAAAAAAAATTGCACTTACTCGATAAAAGTTGAAAACTAGATCCAATTCACAGACGTTGTGGAAATACTCGTTCAGGACCTCCACAAAGTTGTGTATGGCCTCCAGATAGCATAAGTTATTGTCGTTGACATCTACACAAATGCAAAAGTAGAGACCAGCATACCGCCTGTAGACAATCTTAAAATTTCGGAACTACAAAAAAGAAAGAGAAAAATTAGGACTTTGTTTGATTTGAGAACAAGAAAATAGAGGACAATTTATAAAAATATTAGAAAATCAATCCTTTTCAAGGCTTATTGCTCACATTTTAATTACCTACCTAGTCGTGAGGGAAAGATACATTATACTCTAAACCACAATTTTTACGGCTTAAAATTTTCAGATCAAAATGCAAATTTACAATCCTCCAGTGGCAGAAAAATAAATCGGACAGTTTGCACCCTCTTTTGAGGGGCATGGAGGAGGGCTAGCTATTCAAAATCAAGTTTCTCTTCCACACATTAAAGAAATTTCTGCAACTGCAGTTCATTCAATAAAAAAATATGTTAAGTTATGTATAGGTCATTTTTTTTTAAGATTTTTTGACCAAAACCTACCCAATAAACGTTTATAAATAGGTGGGATTTACCTAATTCACTTCACCAAAGCTCTTCAAAAACTCAATTTTATTATCTGGGTGTTAAAAATACTACATTCTTGGCAGTAGAGTGAAGTTAAATTGTAAAAGTCTTTAAATGACTGGTACTCGTTTGAGGAACCAAACAGGCAAACCAGTACCGGTTACTCTTTATCTCGCATGTGACCTTTACATTTTAGGTTTAAAAAAATGCTACATAATAGATCTAACACCTTGAAAATGGAACTGGGTATTCGAGAGGCCTCAGCAACTTGAATGAAGGTAGATCCTGCACTTAAACATTTACTTAGTGACGCCTGAATAAAAAATATTATTACAATTAACATATTCAAGCCAGAGTAGAGATATTTCATCACTCTTTTCTTTCCTTTCAAAAAGAAATTTTTCACAATGAGATGGATCTCATTCTGAGTCACATCTTATTCAGTTGTACTCACTTCAACAAAGTTGGTGTGTTTGGCATCTCGAACGGTTACCACAGCATGGACTTCCTCGATCAGTTTTTGTTTTTCATCATCATCAAAGTTCATGTACCATTTGGCCAGCCTTGTTTTCCCTGCTCTGTTTTGGATCAAAATGAAGCGAATCTGTGGAGAAGAAAATGTTCATGAAGAAAATGTTTATAAGTTCAAGGAAATGGCCTGAAGGAACTGATTCATTGACAGTTCGCTGGTGAGAATAATTTTCTGACCGTTTCTCAAAGAGAAATGAGAGAGTAATCCTGAGCTATCTTTTCAAGTGTTCTGTTTTCTAACTTACCGTAGCTGAGGAACATTTCCTGCTCGGGAACCGCAACAAAACTGAAACGCTAGGGAGATTCTAACCTTTACGTAAGTGCGTATGCTTACATTAAATCTTTTCATAATCTGTTCAATCAAATTTGTCTGGATATCATTGTTAGACATAACTTGGTTCCAATATTTGACAATAAATGTGAGGAAAATTTTGACCTCTGGAAATTGGTGAGATAATATGTTTGATAGTTTTACTGTTCATGATTAGCTTGCGGTACATTCCTGATCTCTTCTCTTGATATGCACAGTTCAAGTCCAACAGTGATTCATCGCGAAGCATTAGTACATTTAGGTAAATGCCTGGGGGTACTTTCAGTGCTGTGCTATAAGTCAAGGAGCGTAAAGTGTCTATAATCTACGAATAGAAGCAATTTCTTGCCCGAGGAGCCACTTGGCACTGCCAATAGTCCGTCTCAAATCTGATAAAACAAGAGATGAATTCCGCACTCGAACTTAGTGTGATAGAATCGTGAACTGCTGAGCTGAAGATCAGGCAAATTTATGAGATAAAAAAGGTGAATTACCTACAGTCAGTTAAGATATTTAATTTTAGGAGGTGGGACGTGTTTACACACTTACCATGATTGAAGTCTTTGTATAAGAGAGTACGTGTATTTCCGCCCACCGAGGGTACGCAAATGACCGATTAGAAATACTCGAGATCACTTCAAGCGAAAAATTGCATTTTACTCCTTGCTTTGGATTGAAAACATACAAACAAGAACGTGGTGAATAAAGTCTTTTCCTTCCAAGAGCTTCGATTTTTATCAGTCCGATCCGAATTCAACATTTCTTGTTTGTGTTATCAATTCCGGTGATAAGAGGAACCGGTATGGTTCGCGTTCATTGACGTATAATACAATCTAGACCGCGCATTGGGCCCGACTTTGGGCGGGGAAGGTAAGACAGCTAGGGGGGTAAAGACGCGCCTTCAGCTTAGTTGATACCGCCGGATATACGAGCTAAGTGTACCCGTATCAGGCAACGGCACTGGCAAGACTGGCATTTCCACGAATTCCACCATTGTCTCGCCGGTACACTTGCTGTGTGTTGCTGGGTTGCCTATCGTCTCGCTTGAATTTCGTAATGCGCGGTCTAGATTGTATTATACGTCAATGTTCGCGTTAAACAAGGAACAAATGAAATTTGCACTAACACACTCACACATTTCATATACACCGTGTCCACTACGCACGCACACAAGGCCATCTACTCAACTCAACACAATCTGCTGTAATCTGCAAAGGATGTACCGTTCTTTCAGTGATCGTCAGTTTTTAGTTTTTTAAATCGTTAATATCTTTCGTTTTCGTTTTCTCCGAGTGTGCGATCGAAGTGTCATGGCTCAACGATTATTGTGCACCGCTCAAAAGCTAGAAAAATTGATATGGAAAGGCGTAAGACGAGGCAGAATAGACACTTACACGGTGAGTCAAGGTTTGAGGTTAATTTAACTTTTTTTGCTACAATTTCTAGGATTATATCATTTAGCCAGTGTGAAAAAACATTTAGCAGTCCAGTCAGATGCGCTCTCCATCACCTCTGTACAATTTTCCATCGAGAAGCGTAGTTTATCATTGTACTTTATGATGAAGTTTTAGGTGTCAATGTCGCCATGGACTCTTTATGTAATCGCTTATTTTGTCTCTTTATTTCCTCTCGTTGCATCATCAATCAAATATGCTATGGATTTGAAACTTAAATTTTTGTATAGCAGGTAAAAAGAATCTAAATGGTCCCACCTTTTCTGTCAGTCATTAATTATTTATGCACCCTTGATGGAAATGCGTCTTATCAATAGTAAACAATCTCTCTCAAAGCGCTACAGCTTGTATGAATTTCGGTCAATGATAGAGATCAAATCCATGTAAGGAAAGGATTGGCTTGTTTGTATTCAAAGCTTCTCTAGATTTTCTTCTGAGCAGTCTTGCTAGGGCGCACGGTTTCTGAGATCATCAAATGGCACCCTTAGCATAGTAAATAACCCCCTTATAAACTGGAAGTATCTAGGATTGCAATTTTGAGTTCTTTCATAATGACATACAAAAGCAAGGAATCAAGTTTTTTTGTTCTCAAGGTAATCTATGTATCACCGCAAACATAATATGCATTTCTACAGTTTTGCCGCTGATAAATAGGTAACTGGAGATCTTTTATTATCATTATCATCACTTCAATTTAGTAGTTCCCATATTCTAAGTATGAATTGGGATAACATTTGCAAACCTGTAATAGCTCAAACTTACTTTAAAATCCTTTAAATTTCTCATGGTCAAATGGTCCATGACTTTGTAATCATGATTGAATCTCTTTTTGGTTTCAGCTCCAAAGGAATTTATCTTTGCTGAGCCGCACGCACAGCTCTACTCTAGAGAAAGTTCTGAGCCAGTGGCAGACACTCTGTGAGAAGCCCCCGAAAGGGTTTGATAAATTTTTCCAGCCGAAAGGAAAGTCAGGTAAGAAACTCGAGGAAGCACACAAGAAAGATGAATCTGCCTCCTCCAAATCAGCCGCAGAGTCCAGCGAATCGTCAAGTCAACAGAGCAGTTCAAGATCCTCAAGTCAGTGGTCCATGAGAGGGTCTGGAGGCTCCAGGTCTGTAAATTTTGCTATTATTTGCTGAAATTGACTGCAATTTGAAATACAGGGACTTCTATTTCTGGTTCATTCAAGAAACAAGATATTGATGGTGAAACTGCAAAAATGCGTATATCGGTTGCGGTGTTTGAAAATTTCCGCTCTTATTTTATTTTTTGAAAGGAAACCGAACCAACATCGTGGCTTGAAATTTTCACAGAATATTCTTCTTATAGAGAAGAAAAATATCCGAAGTGCTCAATAAATGATGTTAAGTGGTTTTCCATATGAAAAGTAAATTATGACAAGAAGTCTGCAACGCTGCAAACCGATTTACGCATTTCTGCAGTTTCACCATCGATATGAGTCTATAAGCCCCCTTTGCAGCTGTCAGCAGTAGCTCCAATGCAAAATGCAATCCAAATGAAGTTCGAAAAACTTTGAAGCTTAGGTATTTGTCCGCGTCGTTTAACTCTTGAAACAGGCATCTGAACCAGCATTTCAAAAATGTCCTCCTTAACTGAAGTTCAATATCTATTTTAATAATCAAATTAAACTTTCTCCTCTTTAAAATTTTGATCGGAAACAATGTGTGGCTAATTTGGCTGAACTACTCCTCACTCATTAATGCTGAAGTGTGACTCGGTTTTTTCTTAAAATTTCATTTACTCCATTGATTTTTTGCAGTAGATATGTTATATTTTACAATTCACATTGAATATAAACCCTCTGTGAATTTTCAGTATTTTCTGAAATAAATAAATTCTATTCTTGCATTATAATACTTAGTTGGCAATATTTCAGAAGAAAGTAACACAATTTTTCTGTATGTTTCAGCAGTAGTGGCAAAGGTGGAGGTAAATCCTTCAATTTTGAAATAAATTCGAAGGATTTTGACCCAAAAGTAACAGGTGCTATTGCAACCATCATCATCCTAGGATTGTATACCATGTATGAAATGAGTTATAAAGAAATCACATGGAAAGAATTTATAAATAAGTGAGTAAGCTGCTGTTTGAACTTCAATTAAGTTTTAAATGAAAAGATTGAACTTTCAAATAATACAAAAATTTAGCTGGAGCCAAATTTTTTGGTATTCCATGCAGGGCTCTTTTTGAAATACAATTTTTACTAAAATTAAAGCTCTCATCAATTATCTGCATGTCATTACTGAGAAACCTTTAAGTCCATTAAAAGTCAGACAAGCATGTAATCTTCACACTTACGATGATATGGACGTATTTCTACCAAACAGACCTAGGTGGAGGTGAGAAATATGAGGTGTGCTCGTTAGTTTTCTGGCCGTAAGAGTGAATGAGAATAATAAAGCGCCAGTGATGTCAGCGGCGACGATGGAGACTCCGAGCTGCGGATCCGCATCTTTAACTCACAAGCCCTGTCCACAACGCTCTCTTGCCATGCCCATGGCTCATGAGTTCCACATTCAGTTGGCACATAGGTCTGTTTGATAGAATGTAAAATCCCACTTTTCCAATTCTACAAAAGGAATCATGCCCACTTTTACATTGCTTCTTATGCAGCTTTAACGAGCACACCCCATATTTCTCACCTCCACATAGGTCTGTTTGGTAGAAATACATCCATATGAGTTGATAAAAGTGTAAAATGTCTAGGACTCCCTTGCCCTTTATTTCTATTTTCTATTTAATGAGTTCGTATTCCTTACGGACCAAAGTTTTAAACCTACCTATGAATAGAGTTACGAAGTTTGTATTGTGAATCACTTGCCAAATTGTCGTCATTTTTTTGTCTTTATTTTTGTTTTAATTTGCTCCTGAGCCATGACTTACTTTTCATTTCTTACTTTTTTTTTGGCAGTTACCTAACCAAAGGAAATGTGGAACGATTAGAAGTGGTAAATAAAAAATGGGTACGCATCAAATCAACTTCTGCTGGAGATGGCACGGTAAGGAATATCCTCCATTATACATGTTGCTTTCAAGCAATAAACTTTCATTCAAACATAATTTCATAATTCATTTTGTGAAGAATCTCTAAATGAAGTCAATATTGTACCCAGAATATTTATATCAAGAGTTTCAATATTGATATCTTCTATTCCATACATTAGTAGGGTGCATAGCAACTGGGAAAGTCAGAGAAGGGAGATGAATTTGGTCAGGGGTCAGGAGAGGAAACGTGTTCCGAGGAGAGAGACGAAGTGTTGTGCAAGATTATGATTTTTTGCATATTTTCACGGCACTTTGATACTGAGCTCTGCAGCCTCCTCCCCTGGTCTATATTTCCCTTGAAACTTTCAGCCCCATCTGATTTATACTGGTATTTTTTCATGAGCTATGTTTATTTTTGCATATCTTTTTATTTTTTTATTAATTTTTTTTTTAAAAAAAAGAGATGGAGAAAAATCTGTAAAAGTCAAGAAGAACAAAAACCTAAGGGTCAGGAAAAACCTTGAAAGTCAGGGAGAGGGGAAAAAATGTTTGCCTGACACCTTGGTTCAGTGTATTGGCCTTACACTCAGAATTCTGCGATCGATTCTAATACTCATATCGTAATAATTTAAAACCAGTAGAGTCTGAATTGAAGCATCTCTCTCATAGTATTTTTCATCAAGATTTCACAATAAAAATTACAAGTTGGATGGATTTATGATATTTTAACATTATGATTCACATCTTTGATGTTATGTAATAAATTTTTACATTAATTTGATGACCCCCAAGTGGTAAATGTTAAAAAAAATGTTTCTCCCATACAAAGCCATTCCAAAGCTTGCATCATTTAAGGAAAACCATTCGGTTTGTTTTACTTTCTTTTTTTCAATACTTTTCACTTTTCATATGTTTTAAGTATTGATTGCTGTACTCAATTGTATTTCTTTCTCCTTGAAATTACAGGTACCGTGGTTCAACATTGGCAGTGTTGACTCGTTTGAACGTAACTTGGAAAATGTTCAAATGGAAATGAACATTGAGCCGCCAGATTTTGTACCTGTTGTCTATAAAAACATATTTGAACTGGGACAAGTAACCTCCTTTTTACCTACACTTCTCATAATAGGTGAGTAAGAGTTATTTTGTCCTGTGTTAGACCTCTGAACTATCCATGATTGATTGAACTCTGTGTCTGATTAAACAATTATGAGCAAAAGCAATGAATAATTTACTCCGTGGACCAAGTATGAGATAAGAAATCAGAAACAGAAAGTACCGAGGCAAAAAAGTATGAGCATGCAATTATAGCAAAAATGCAATGTAAAAACGTGTGAACTCGAATTAACATACTCAAATCACAATAGTAACAAAAGAAGAGCCAACGCTTTTTGGGGCACCTGTCTTCTTCTCCGGACTTCACCTTAAAAAGAGAGACCGGTACCTTAAAATGTATACAGCTTTTATTTCAGTTATTTTACAAGTTGGGTTTTTTTATTAATATCGATCTTACATGTTTTTATGTTATGTATTTGCCTCAAGTCTAAAAAAATCTAGAGAAATTTTGTGCTCTAGATACCTAGATTGACTACCCCAGTCCATTTATTATCGCAAGAAAAGAACACTATAAAAATTTGGTCCGTATTGTAAGTAAAAAGGTGGTAGAATAGTGCTGGAGCCACCCTGCGGAGGAGGCGAGGCCTAAAAAAATCTGAAAATTTCAATTAGAGTAATATTGAAATTTAACTGAAATGTTTAAAATTTTTTAGCATTTCTTTCCTTACAAAATAGTGTGGAAGAACTTTTCTACCACCTTATTATCTTTCAGTGCATACATAATCATAAATGAAACCATTAAGTAATAAGTTTATGATTTTGCAGAAAATGAATGAAAGTTCTACAATTTCATTCCATATCTCCTCATGTCTCACAATAAGTTGAGCTGAAAATTGAGCTTTTGTGGTCAGTTCTCTTTGTAAGTTTTTTGTGAAACATTTAAAGCATATTTTCTGAAAGAACCATTTGCTATTATGTTTTCTCCTCCTTGAAATCGCCAATTTTTAAATTTTTTTAAAAATAATCTCCGGAGGGTTTAACTCTTTCCATTAAAACTTTTCAGAATCATACATAACCACTCATAAAATATGTAATTTTTCCGTCTCCTAATCTTCCTAAATTGGTTCATTGACTCCTAATGTTTTCGCTTTTTTCAGCATTTCTTTTCTACTCAATGAAGAAGTCAATGCAAATGATGGGCGGAGGTCGTGGTGGTAAAGGAGGTGGAATTTTTGGAGTGATGGAGTCAACAGCAAAACTGATCAATTCTAGCGACATAGGAGTCAGATTCAAGTGAGACTAAGTTGTGCTTTTTATACTGGTTTGTGGCAACAAATGTCATTGAATATCTAATCATTTTAACTTCGTATGTTTATCTCTGGTATGTTTCGTATTTTGGAGGTTTTAAAAAATCAGCCTTGATTTGGACAGACTTGGCTTCGACAGGTTGCAGTTATGAGCAGTTTTTTACTCCTTCCATTTTATATCATGAACTCTTAACCTAAAATTTATTTTTGCCTCCCTTTGGAATGTGCTCGTTGGTTTTTTTTGAAGCACTTATTATCATAATTTTCTTACATAATGTGAAGGCTGACTTGAAAATAATATCTCTTAGGCTTCAGTTTCAAAAGGAAAGAATAGAATTGAATTCAGGCTCAAAATAAATTGGTTTTTTTCTCAAATGTCTGTAATACTCACTATTTTCTAAAATTTGGTATGAAGGAAAAAAGTTAATTTTGTTGTTTTTCTGTTATGTTTAGAGATGTCGCTGGTTGTGAAGAAGCAAAAGTAGAAATTATGGAATTTGTAAATTTTTTGAAAAATCCTCAACAGTATATCGATCTTGGAGCCAAAATTCCAAAAGGAGCCATGTTAACAGGTTTGCATATTTTAATTTGTAATATTGTACTCACTTCCTCATTTCAATTTTAAACTCATCAGAATTTGTAAAAAATATGTCATTTGTGTTTATTAATATTAGTAGGTCAGAGCTGCGATTTGATAGTTAAAATAAAGTGAACACAGCTTCATAATGTTCATATTGGAACACTTCTTCATGATAAGACATGCTAAAAAAGCAAATGCCCTCAAAAAATGATAAAAGAAAAAATGTCTTCAATTACAAAAGCTTTAGAAAGATGTTCGAATGAGTTCCATGCATTTCTAGGTAGGGTACGTATCATCAAGAGTTGCTTGAGAATCTTTTAAAACGATAGGTCAAAACTACAAAATTGCAGCCAAGATGAAGGTTGTTCGGTCACTTGCAAGTCCTGCTGCAGAAGAAGCTTTCCTAGAGCATAGTCCATGTCATATAAAACAGAAACTTGTTTTTGTCACACTTATCGGAGTATTTTCCAAGGTATTATGAAAATCTGCAAATAAATGCCAATAAATCCTGATGAATTAAGTATCAAAACATGTCAGGGTGTCTACTGTATGGAACAAGTAATGTAACACTGAAAGAGCACGGATTTTGGAAGGTTGGTACGGAGGTACGGAAAAGGTACGGATTTTCCATGGAAAGCCACGGATATTCGAGATTTTTGTGACGAACTCTAAAAAGTTGGCCTGGGAATATGCAATTTCCTAACAAAATTCATCGATGAAAACCCTGGTTTATTCTCTCGTGTTTTTTGGTTTATTCCTTTGTCGTCCCATCATTCCATTTTCCCAATCCATTACAGTTAAAAATGCATGTGAGGTAAGAAAACAGGAAGGAAAAGGTAAGAAAGAAGCAAGGATTTTTGAGAAATGTCAAAAAATAGAATTTTCGGGGAAGTTAGGAAAAAGCAAGAATTAGGTACTGAAAACGCAAGGAATTTTAATGGCAGAGGACCAGTAGACACTCTGCATGTTTTTGGTGACAAAATCAAGGAGCCAGCGGGCCGATTATTGACACTTATAAACAAAGAAAACATAAAAAGTATGGAGCGAGCCTATTGGTTGAAATGGGTGATTATAATTAAATAAGGGGGTAAATGATGGACTAACTATCGGGTCTCTCGTGGGTTACCGTTAGTTAGTCTATTACCTACGTCCTTTGTCTATTGCAACCACCCGCTTCCACCAATAGGATCCCTCCATATCCTTTTTGTCTTCTTTGTCTATTGCTTTCTCTATCAATTTCAACAATCAGCCTGCAGAAGACCATAAAATTCAGAAAAATGTTCATTTCCATATCCTCACTATTCAGTAGTTTCTGTTTTCTAATGTTTATTAAATTGACATCTGCGTGTACCAATTGTTCTGTTTTCTGACATTCACCTTTGTGTAACAGGGCCACCTGGTACTGGTAAAACATTACTTGCTAAAGCAACAGCGGGTGAAGCAAACGTGCCGTTTATCACCGTCTCAGGATCAGAGTTTCTTGAAATGTTCGTCGGAGTAGGACCTTCTAGAGTAAGTAAAATTCTGTTTGTCCTACCTAAAATTAATCGTTTAATTTTAATGAGCTTTATGAGAAGTATGTGAAAGTACGTACTTATGCCCAAAACTATTTTTTAAATTGATTTTTTATTTACTTGTTGTTATTGATGTTATGTAGACAGGGTAAACATATGTTGAGGCACAACAAAAATAAAATAGGCTTGCCTATATCCTTGACATGAATTGGATTGCATTTTGCAAAAAGGAGCCACTAGCATTGCAATGATGCTAAGATTGTGCAACTTCATCCTTTGCAATAAAATTGTGGAAATCGTGAAAAACTATGAAATTTAGATGGTAATTTTTGGCTTAAATTCACAGTTTTTAGCAAATAAAATAGAAACTATTAATGGATAATCGGGTTTTTCCTCCAAGACAAAAGAAGTCGCACAATCTTAGCAACATTGCAATGCTAGTGGTTCCTTTTTGTAAAATGCAATCCAATTATCCTGTGTTGAACACATAAAATTCCCTAATTTACACTAACACTAAAAGTCAAAAACTGCGATGGGTCGTTAAGGACCCAATGGGCATATAGGGGTTTTAAGGAGCAATGCAGTTTAACTTTTCAATGGGTCCAATTCTTTCGATAGCCTTGATTTCCAGAACTGTAAAATATTTTTGTAAAAATATGAGTTTTAAATCCAGCAGAAATATTAAGTAGCTTTTAAACATGGGACTGCATTTCAAGCCCCTGGTTTAGTTATTGAAGAAATCTAGAATGTAAAATCTAGAAATCAGGAATGTAAGTATGGTGAAATGTAGAATGCTCCTGCCAAAATGTAGTTTTATACAGAATAAATATTTAAGAGCATGGTGAAAACTTAAACTATCATTTTAAACCGACAAATTGAAATGAAAAAAACAGGCAATTGAAGAAAAGTCACAAATAAAACTCAAAGAGAATTCTGAAGCTTGCTATGTTAAAATTTTAAAGTTGCTCAAACTACTCCCAATGGCACTCAACAAATGGGATAAGTCACACCTTTTCAGTGTGCAAATGAACCTAATGCATAATGCAATACATGTTCGTGCAACCAAACGCTCAAAATTGGACGTATTTGACCCTAAAAGATCGATGTACAAGTGAGTTTAAACCAAAGATTGCGTGCATCTTGTTTTTTTCCCCCTTTTTTACTCATTTTGTTTAGTTTCTTTCAACACAACTACGGATAATTGAGATTAATATCGATGCCATCACTTGGGAAAGGTTTTACAAATATTTGCTATGTTTTAAAAAAGTAAATGTTTTGAAAATGAAGTAATACTTTCATTAAAAAGAAGTGGTTTATATAAGGTATATTTTATATAAAAAATTTCAAGGATAGAAATGAAACCAAATATTCATCAATGAAAATTTGAAAAGATGAATCAATAGGAGAAAGTAACATTACATTTAAAAAATGAGTTGCCATAACAACACCTCCTTCTCTCTTAATTTTCTCATTCCGATGTTGTCAATATAATTTTACATTCGGACTAAAATAAGACGCTTGGACCAAGTCACTGCTGCTTATTTTACGAGCGGCTGTTAATTATTGGACAAAACAGGTACGCAGCCAAAAAATCGTTGACAGAATGTCCTGAAACCATTTTGTCTCTGAATTTCTGACGTTTATTGTTTATGTTTTTCATTCTCGTCCTGTTCGGTTTCATATATTTATGGCTAAAGTCAAGAAAATTGTATCTCAGGTTGCAACAATGTATATCGCTCTTCTTGTTTCATTTCTTTAAAAAGAAAACGGTCCAATGATATCTACAATGCATTTGCCATTTGGATGTATTTCTACCAAACAGACCTATGTGTAAGTGAGAAATATGGGGTATGCTCGTTAGTTCTCTTTGCGTAGGAGTGAATGAGAATAATAAAGCGCCAGTGACGTCAGCGGCAATGATAGAGCTGGGGAGCGAGGAGCGCGATCTTCGTCTGGGCGCTTTAACTCATGAGCCCTGTTCACAACGCTCTTTTGCCATGCCCGCGGCTCATGAATCCCGCATTCAGTTGGCACATAGGTCTGTTTGATAGAATGCAATATCCCGCTTTTCCAATTCTTCAAAAGGAACCATGCCCACTTTTACATTGTTTCTTATACAGATTTCTAGAGCACACCCCATATTTCTCACCTCCACATAGGTCTGTTTGGTAGAAATACGTCCATTTAAGCCTATGGAAAAGAATCGATGAACAGGGTGTTGGCAACAAACACCTTAATAATGGATTCTGCTTCAAATTATTGATCATCGATGTCACTTCTTGCCACTGCTTGCAATTGAAGCTTTTATTTTGGAAAGGTTCAAAGTTGTTTTTAAAAGTGGAGTTTTGACGGTAAAGTTATCCTTTTCTACCTCCTGTGTGGTTTTTCTTGTCTCCTGAAAAATTGTGTTTTTCAGAGTTTGCACCCTCTTAGCGTAAACGCTTCAATTGACGTTCGCATTCTTTGCATTTAGCCATGGATGTATGTTCTGAGCTCAACCAATGAAAGTTCTTAGTGCATTTATGGGAAAACTAACGTGAATTTTATCGTTTTCAGGTCAGAGATATGTTTACAATGGCCAGGAAGCATGCTCCTTGTATTCTATTCATTGATGAAATCGATGCAGTTGGTAGGAAACGAGGAGGTCGTAATTTTGCTGGTCACTCAGAGCAGGAAAACACTCTCAACCAACTTCTTGTTGAGATGGATGGTAATCCTTTAACTCTCTTACTACAGCTTTTTTTTCTTTTGGCCTAAGGTGAACCTTCAGGACCTTTAGTGTTTTAGTGTCAATATTTTTCTCAATATAAGTTTCTTACACAAATTGATTGCGGTGGAGACACGGGTCGTAAGACAGTATGTTGGAATTTTTTAGCCAATGTGTGTTAAAAATCAGCATAAAGCTATGGTCGTTTACTAGTGTTGCACCAAACAGCTTATCTCTTTGAAGGAAAATTGGACGTATTTCTGCCAAACAGAACTATGTGCATAATGGTGTGAGCTCTGTTATGCATAGATTTTTAGGGGTCTCAGGGTTCATGTCTGAATGCACATAGTTCTGTTTGGCAGAAATACGTCCAATTGTACTTGTGTGTGTGAGCTTTTTCTTTCTGTATCGGGATATTTAGCTTTATCCTGATTTTTAATGCACATTGGCTAAAAAATTCCAACACACCATAAGTTTCTTACAGATGTTGAATCATAACTTAAATTGCAAATAAGATGTGTGGCTGCAAAAATTTCTTGACCTAACGATCAGCGAATTGTAATTAGTTGTAAGCAAAAATTGGTCTGAAAAAGAAAACTTTTTTTCTAGAAAGCTCTCAACTCTTAAGATTTGTCAACTCTTTTTCTCTTTAAGAACAAAAGGCTCAAAATAGGGTCTTAAAAACAAGATAGCTGGCTGACGCTAACATGGAAATTGAGTTCTTTGTCAATTTGTGGCAATTTGTAGATAATGAGGGAGGAAAAAGGGGTAGAAGAAGGAACAAGTCATAACTCTGAAAATATTTTGGGGAAAAAGGGTTTTTAATTTCAGAAGGCTAATTTTAAAAATGGGAAGACCAAGAACGTTTTGCACGCTGCACCCTCTTTAGGATGAATCCAAAATTTGGACACCTATGTTTATCCTTTAAGAAAAAAAAGGGGGTCTTGAGGTTAGGTTTTGATGTTTCACACTGGATTCATCCCTCATCGGTCTTTCCTATTCTTTCACTTGTTGAGCAAAAATATCTTCCTTCTTTTTCAGGTTTCAACACAACAACTAACGTTGTTGTATTAGCCGCCACCAACCGTGTAGATGTTTTGGACAAAGCGTTGATGCGACCTGGGCGTTTTGATAGGCAAATCTTTGTTCCTGCCCCCGATATTAAAGGCCGTGCGTCCATTTTTAAAGTGCATTTGAAACCTTTGAAAACGAAACTGAATCAAGATGAGCTGTCAAGGAAAATGGCTGCTCTGACTCCTGGTTTCACAGGTAACGCGATTGCCTTTATCTCATCTTGTCATTGTTGATTCATTTTCAAGTCTCCCACAAATCTAATTTTCTTGACAAAATTTCATATTGAATTCTTGGAAATATAAATGGTTTGGAAACAAGAACTGAGAACAAGAGAAAAACACTAAAAATATGACCTGAGCTGTATGTGACAGGGCCTTGCTTTCCCCGCAAAATAGTCTGGACCCTGCACTATTTTACCACCTTTAAAGATATGTTCTCGTGGTTTTGTGTCTCCTTGTTCAGATAATTAAGAGAAAAGAAAAAAAAGTAAAAAAAAAACAAATAAATAATAAAGATCTATTGGAGTCATATGTATTCGCTTTTTAAGATATTTTTAGTACACATCATAAACGCGCCCTAGAAGTGGTAGAGTGAGGAATGTTTCCGAAAAAAACTCAGAACACTCATCATCACTCAGTTGTTGTCCTGAGAAGAGATTTGGAACAGGTATAGAAAGATGCTCGAGAGGACATGTTCCAATTTCTATTGATACTATCGTGGAGCTATTGACTTGCCGGAATATAATTTTTCCAACTGTCCACAGAGCGAGAAAGAAAATGAGAAAAAGAAATCTCTTGCCTTAAACTGACAACAACTTTTACCTTCTTTTGATTCGCCCTCTCTTCCATTTCGATGGTGAAACTACCAAACCACGTATCTCGGTTTGCGACGTCACAGACTTCCTGTCATACTTCATTTTTTAAATGAAAAACTACTTAACGTCCAGTCTTGAAAATTTCTGTTATTTTTCCTCTTCGTGCGGAGAAAATTCTGTGAACATTTCAAGGAATGATATTGATTCGGTCTACTTCAAAAAAATAAAATGCGAGCGTAGATTTTTAAACACCGCAAACGAGATACGTGGTTTGGTAGTTTCACCGTCGATTTGTAACTTGTTTCTAAATGATGCTATGATGTTTTCAGGAGCTGATATTGCCAATGTCTGCAATGAAGCGGCTTTAATAGCAGCCAGAGACTTAAACCCAGATATCAACATGAAGCATTTCGAAGCAGCAATAGAGCGAGTTGTAGCTGGTATGGAGAAGAAGACCAATGTTCTTCAGCCAGAAGAAAAGAAGACAGTAGCATACCATGAGGCTGGCCATGCAGTTGCTGGCTGGTTCTTGCAACATGCTGATCCATTATTGAAAGTAAGATCTTAACCACCAGCAAAAGTTCTATACTTATTTATCTTCTTGTTGTGCTTCCTAGTACTTCACAACCCTTAATTGCCTCTTTTCTCTATTAAACCATAACCCTTCAAGCATCTCACACTTGAGCATTTACCATCCCTTCACTCTCTTATTGGGCGCTCTTATAGCCCCCTCTTTGTAGAAGTCCCATCTATGACCTTCTTTGGCAACCCAACTTCTTCCTTGTACCTCTAAAAATAAGTGGCAAGAGGTTCAATTCTTTTTAAGGTCAATAACTGGCATGGAGCTATATTTTAATTTGATCCCTTGAGCTCCAAATATTCTAGAGGATAAATTGAAATTGTTTTGCATCAAAACTATGTATGTACTTAGAACTGCTATTTTCAAACCAACATAAATCCAGTTCAGCGCAACTTTATTGGGGTTTTTTTTTTTGTGTTGAAACGCTCTCTTAAACAATGTTTTCAATAATATTTTATCATTGAATCAATCGACCTTATATATTAGATCCATTTTTTAGTTTATAAATTTTGTATAATGTATATTTTAATGTACTCTTACCAGTATTCCGTTTGCAAATAAGGCATTAAGATTTTAATTCTCCTCACGCATGTACTATTGAACTTAGTTAACAATTCTTTGGTTTTTTCAGGTATCCATTATTCCAAGAGGGAAAGGTCTTGGTTATGCACAGTATCTCCCAAAAGAACAGTATCTGTATACGAAAGAACAGCTTTTCGATAGGATGTGTATGACTCTTGGTGGTAGGGTTTCGGAAGAAATATTCTTCGGTAGAATAACGACGGGTGCTCAGGATGATTTGAAGAAAATAACGCAGAGTGCATATGCTCAGGCAAGTATTTTTTTATTTTTGCCATTAACTTATGGAAGCAAAAGAGAACCGATTGAAACCCACAGAAATTACCACCCTTGCTTCCTAAGGTTTCGAAGGTTTTATTTTGTCAGAAAATGGCAAATAACAGTGCTTCTAACAGGTTTTCATGACTGAAGTAACACCCTAGAGGGCGGTGCCAGTCAGCATCAATTATAAACAATAGAGGAACTTTGTATGTACAAAGCATGTGTATAAAGTTTCAATGAATAGTTAAAACTAGAAGAAACAAGCATTATTTACATTTATAAAAGGGAGGCAGCAGGAAAGATATATAAATAAAGAGATAAAATTTAGAGAAATATTTTATTGTGTAAATGCCATCAGTAACTTTTTGATTAAATAAGGTAGAAGTAAAATAATGTACAATGACAAGACAATTAGATGATACAAAAATTTGTAAATAGAGTAGCTATTATGTAAAACGAATTGTAAATATAAATAAAGATGCTACTATAAAAGGAAAAAGAAAAAAATGTTTCCTTTCAAGAAATTAATAATTCAGGCCACTTTGTAAAGTGCATCCAGATAAATCGTGGAGTTTTGTAAATCAAGCAGAAATTGAACATCAATTAAAGTGTTTCCTAATTCATTCTGTTACTTTTCAATCACTTTATTTTTGATTGATTTCATGTTATTTTTCGGTTATGTAACTGGAGTAAGCTCAACTGCATCAGGCATTGCTCAATTTTCTCCCAAAAGCTGTTCATCATGCTGCAAAATTCGCATAGTTGTTTAATATCTTCTACAAATTGGTAACCTTTATTTAATTATGAAATCTGAGGGACTTCTTTACATCTACCAATAAAAATAAAAATTGTAAAATTTTCATGTAACAAAACTAATTGATCCTCCTTCTTTAAGATGAAATGTCTCAATTCTGCGACTTTTTTAATTGAAACAGGTTTTTTTTAGTTTCACCATCGTCGTCATTATTGTCTGAAAATGGAGATGTTGTATGTGTGAGGAATATGTGTTTTGATTGTTGATTCTTACGTAAAAGTTCACGAGAAACACGATGGTGTCTTTGGTTTTTTCTGAAATCATCTCTCAAGCTCAAAAAAAGCTCTCAAGTTGAGGCCAAAATGGAGGGGATATTCCACGCTATCCTGAGAGTCCACGTCTACATTAAGACAAACTCTCCATGCAAAGATAGGGAGCAAATACATTGACAGGGCTGCCACTTTATTTGGGGACTCCAAAACTGAAAACACGGCAACCCTGCTAATGTATTTGCTCCCTATCTTTGCATGGAAAGTTTTTTTTGATGTAGAAGTGGACTCTCAGGATAGCGTGGGATATCCTCTCCATTTTGGCCTCAACTTGAGAGCTTTTTTTGAGCGGGGGAGATGATTTCAGAGAAAACCAGTGGCACCACCGTTTTTCTCGTGAAATTTTACGTAAGAATTAAAAGTCAAATCGCAAATCTCTCACACATGCAACATCTCCATTGAAACAGGTTTTTTAGTTTCACCATCGTCATTATTGTCTAAAAATTTCCCCCGTACAACTGGAATTTTGATTTTTCCACAGGTTGCACACTTTGGAATGAATCCTGTCGTGGGAAACGTCAGCTTTGATCTCCCTCAGCCTGGAGAAATGGTCATGGAAAAGCCTTACTCAGAAGCAACTGCCCAGACCATTGACGCTGAAGTTAGGAAACTGATTTCAGAAGCACACTCCAGAACCACCAAGCTTCTCAACGAACAGAAAGACAACGTCATCAAAGTGAGTGTCAGCAACTTTGGGATCGCCTCTATCCATTTTTTGGATTTTTGTTTTTTCACAGATTTTCAATCTTTTTTTGAAATGTTCGGCTGGATGAGTCAAAAAATTTAAGTTTAGAATCCAGCAAAAACTCGGAGGATAAAAATGCTCTGTAATTGGTGTGACCAATGGTTGGGTGAAAACAGGGAATTGCCCGAGGATTTCATCTGGTCAGGGGAATCAGGAAAAAGTGAGGGAATTTAATCAAAAGATGGGAAATTCAGAAAATTTCAAATCTGGATTTCTGAAAAAATCACCGCTGTCCACATAATAAAACACAGCCTTTGTCTCAAACAAACTGATTGCGGTGGAGAAACGGGTTGTAAGTCAGTTTTTGTTGGAGTTTTTTAGCCAACGTATATTAAAATTTTTACGTTTGAATGGTCGTAACTAGTGTTGCACCAAAGATGACGGAAAATTGACGGAAAATTGTGCTCATATGAACTTTTTCCCTGTGTATAGAGATTTTCATCTTTATGCTTTTTGCTGAAATTTGAACGCTAGTTGGCTACAAAACTCCAACAAAAAGAGCCTTAGTCTAGTTTTGGTGTCAATGTTCTGACTCACACTCTGGATAAAGAACAGTGGAACAAATTCCAATAAGGATATGCGAATATAGTAAAATGAAAGATGAAAACCTTAAGTAAAAAGGCTTAAATATTTATTTTGTTTGCTTATTTGTAATGAAATTAATGCCAAAACTTTTCATTTTTAGTTCTATACATGCAAATTTTTGATGTGAAATGTTGAATTTGCTATTTTTGGTCAGCAATCACCTGAGATAGTCAGAGAATTTTTTCCTGCAGAGCCATTAAACATCCTGCTTTAGTTGTACCACAAAATACTTACTGATGGTATGCAAATTACGCTTTTGCTCCAGCATTATTGCCGTTTAACTGGTGTACATGCACCTGAAAAAGCTTGTTATATTAAAGAATTACTTCATGATCTTTTTAGTCATATGCACCTTTGTTTACTGTTCCAGGTTGCTGAAAGGTTATTAAAACAAGAAATCTTAAGTAGAGATGACATGATTGAGCTCTTAGGAAAGCGGCCATTCCCTGAGAAGAGCACATATGAAGAGTTCGTTGAGGGAACCGGATCGTTAGAAGAAAACACTGAATTACCAGAAGGCTTAAAAGACTGGAACAAAGAAAAACAAGGAGACAAAAGCAAAGAGAAAGAAGCCAAATCGTAACTTTATCTGGATTGATCTAAAATCACGTGCGTTAGTTTAAATTGTATTGTTTTATAGTTCCTTTTTGTTTTATACATGTATAAATTGTTTTTAATAAACATTTATAGAAAAAAACGCTCGTCTTTATTTTTGCAGGAAGCTTTTCAGCACGACAGAATCCTTGTTTTTCTGCCTATAATGGCTTTGTCTAACTCTCATCTTTTTAAGGTTTACCGCTGTTGTCAAGTTTGGTCACAAACTCTGTTATTTCAAACAATAAATGAAAAAGTGAAAAAAATGGAAAAATTGTTGTTTGCCTCATTTTTTCTCTCTCCTACTGTTATCCGGCTCAATAATTATTTCTTGAGCTGCCTCTCTCATATTGAAGGCACTGAGTGTATGAACCTGTAAAGTGCATTTTCCGTGGATTTGAGGAAGTCGATAACCACGATAAATTGCATACTTTAATTTTTACAAAATGATATTTCTTAAGTTTCATACGATGTTTGAGTCGTATTCTCATACTTTTGATTTTTAATTTGTATTTTAGACATATTTTCAAGTCAGTCAGTCAAACTCGGGCGTTCTCTGCACACACCTGGTTCATGCGTAGAAAAACCAGGCAGTGTAGGTTTTATTGGTAAATTAAACTGTCAAGTATCGGACTCTTACAATGAAAGATTTCTTGTATTTAGACGTATAAGGGTTTGAAAAATTACTCAAAATTGATTTAACTCAATGTTGTGTTGACAAAATTCTTGTCCAAGTTCCCAACTTTGCTTGTTTACCACCCCAAGGAGAAGGAAGGCTACCTATCCGTTTTGTTCAAAAAAATTCAATTTGTGTGTAATTAAAAACCAATAAAATTATGTCAATGCAAAAGGAAGTTGATTTTCTCATCCCGGGATTCAGATTTTCAAAATTTCATGTGGAAGCTAAAATTTTATCTTGAGACCGTTTGGACCAAGTTGCAAGAGATTCAATTGGCGTCTTACTGATTTTTTTGAAAAATCAATTTCAATAGGTATCGGATTTTCGGAAATATTTCTAGGCTCCCTCTTTTTCTCTTTTGTGGAAGCACACTTTAACTCCCCTTAATTTTGTATAGAAAGAATGAATGAAAATAGGTTGCCGAACTGAGGAGGAAGAGTTAAAACATTAAATGAGGAGGCGAAAAAGAAGAGCAAAAAAATCATGGCAGGCAAAGGGATGGGAAATACATGTAGAGGTGTCAATGAAGACGCCAAAATCTGAAATTGCGTTATCTTACGTCTGCAGGAATGGAGGCACTGGATGCAAAAAGGGCACTTCTCGATTGCAGTGTTTCAGAATCTCTGTTGCTAATTATTCCTTTGGAGAAGAGTTTAATGGGTGATTTTGCCAGAATTCTTTCCGTAGAAAATTGTAGAATCACAAGGAGTATCTAGTGAAACTTTTAGTGTAATGGATGCATTCACTTTCCTTACAATGAATGAAACGTTAGAGGAGACTCTGAAACATTGCAACAAGAAGTGCCCTTTTCGAATCCAGTGCCTCAATTTTCAATAAACAGGCGGAAAATGCAACGAATAAGTTAAAAAAAGCTTTGAAATTGGAGAATCTTCTGTCGACTTGAAGAACAAACAAAAGTTGTAGAGGGAAGTGGCGATTTAACACTCCGGAGGTCTACTTTCGTATCGTCCAGAAAACATAAGTCACAAATTCAGATCGTTCCCTTCAAGTTTACTTTCTGAAGTTGATCCGCCTTCAATTCTCCCGGATAGGCAACAAACGTCCCGAGGAGCACGAACAGTTACCTACCAATCGGGAAAATGTACTCGTACATTTATTCTGATCCATGCTCCTGATTCAAGCAGGAGTGACAATGTACGATTTGTGAAACTACTCGTAGGTTGCTTCAGCATAGAATTTGCATTTCATCTTTCGAGTTAGGCCACAAATCTACCGAAAAAAAAAATTAAAAAAATTACTGAAAAATTCGAAAAATTACGAAAAATTTACTGATGGCTTAGCTCGGAAAGTAACGTTTGAAGATGTTCATTTATTTATTTATTTATTTTTTTTTTTGAGACGAATAATGAGTCGCAATTTATCTTCGACGTACCTATATTTTTCTCTCTTCATGAAAGAGGATAAATTAGGACGTAATTCATACAGGGCCGGATTAAGGGTGGGATGGCCACATGGGCTGCGGCCCATGGCGGCAAATCTAGGGGCGGCAAATTTTGCAATTTTTTTTAAATGTACCTAGGTATAAAAAAAAAATCGAATTTAGAAAAAAAATTACAAACGAGAAAAGCCTAAAAAATCTCTCATTTCCTAAGAGTATAGTAATTTCTAATTTTGTCGTCTTTCAGTGATACAAGAGACAGCACCTTTAATTAGTCGAGTTAAGAGAGAAACCAAACACGCAATTTGGCCTGGACTTAGAGAGAAATGATGACGAAGACTTGAGATGAAAAGGAGAAGCCCTCAGCGCGGCGGTCGGCATGTAACACATATTAGAGCCTACAAGACTGCACGAATACTTCACGCATTGCATCAAACACAGTGCGGTCACTGCAGTCAGTATGAAACGGATAGCGCCTACAAGAATGCATGAATACCTCACGCATTGCGCCAAAAACAGTGCGGTCAGCGTGAAACGCTTAGCGCCTACAAGCTTGTCGGAATAATTCACGCATTGCGCCAAACACGGTGCAGTCTGCGCGGCGTGGCGGCGGAAGTTAAAATCTTTAAACTACATTTATGTTTGTTCTTTCATAATTTTTTCGTTCATTTCTTGTGAATGGAAGGCCTCGTCCACACAGAGATAGGTTTACGGAACTTAACTTTTGCGCAAAGTTCCGTGAACTTTTGCTAGTAGTGTTGACAGGGCTTTCCCAAATAATGTGTCCAACACAAGTAAACGCGTCTTCTGCATCCTTCCCCCGCTGGCACGTTCACTTGATGGTTTTTATTGATGTTTCAAAACGAATGAGAGGGGGACGGCAAAATATAGGCGGCCCATGGGCGGCAAGTAGGTAAATCCTGCCCTGAATTCATAACACATTTTTAGAGAACTGCGTGTCAAGAAGTTCGCTGCAATTTTTACAGAGCTGTTTGTCGCACAGCAAAAGAGAAGGCTGCAGCAGTCAATGGTTGTTAGAAATAGGTACCTAATGCATTTGTAAAAGAGCACCTGGAAAATCGGTCTCCAGCAATTATCCATGTTCTAAACAGTTTGTCCATTTTCTGTCTGAAAAAGTTGATATCAAAACCATTCTCAGCTCTCCCCCTCCCCATTCGACTTAGGGAGTTTCTGTCAAACTGTTCATTTTAAATCATGCGATTTCCCCTGAAATATTTCCGGAAATTTTGAACATTTATGAGATATAAGAAATTTTCAATTGAGAAGTAAGTGCCAAAGATCAAGGTGTTTTCCACTTAAATACGGGTTGCATACTTAGCTCCTGAAAAACACTTTTAAAAAATTTCATTTTCATAATTTTCACAAGCCGCACACAAGAATTTCACAGGAAATGCCCGATTTTTCACAAAGTTTCATGCCAACCTATCCCGCAGAGGGAAATGTTGAATTCCTGAAACCACAAGTTACCACCTCGTCACCTCCCGGTCACAGTATCACAAGCGCCATGCGACGTTTCAAAATTGCCATTGTATTTTTTTACAGAGAAATGGGCTCAACGAGGCTGTCCGAAAATTTTACTGAATTGTATTTGCGCTGCCGATAAACTTCCGTGAAATTTTTAAACAGATTCAACCAACAATTTCTCTGTAAAAAAATAAAACGCCATGCGACGTTTCACAATTGCCATTTTATTTTTTTACAGAGAAATGGCTCAACGAGGCTGTCCGAAATTTTACTGAATTTTATTTGCGCTGCCGATAAACTTCCGTGAAATTTTCAAACAGATCAACCAACAATTTCTCTGTAAAAGAATAAATTGGTGGTGGAAATTTTGAAACGTCGCATTACGCTTGTGATACTTTGGCCGGAAGGTTACGAACTGTCACCAAAAGGCTAAACTGCCGTGTTAAGCAAGAATGCCGTATGAACATCCGAGAGTTACCAAATTCCCCTTGAAAAAACATGTATTTTTGACGACAATCGTGCACATTTTTCTTTGAAAATTTCAGATATTTTAGATTAAATTGCGTACAAAAGTGTCTGAAAATTTCGGTATTCAAAATTGCTCCAGTCAATGGAGATGTTGCATGTGTGAGAGATTTGCGATTTGACTATTGATTTTTATGTAAAAAGTTTGCGAGAAACACGATGGTGCCACTGGTTTTCTCTGAAATCAACTCCCAAGCTCAAAAAAAACCTCTCAAGTTGAGGCCAAAATAGAGGGGATACCTATCCCACCCTACCCTGAGAGTCCACCTCTACATCAAAACAAACTCTCCATGCAAAGATAGGGAGCAAATACATTGACAGGGCTGCCACTTTATTTGGGGACTTTAAAACTGAGAACGCTGCAACCCTGCTAATGTATTTGCTCCTTATCTTTGCATGGAGAGTTTGTCTTGATGTAGAGGTGGACTTTCAGGATAGCGTTGGATATCCCCTCCATTTTGGCCTCAACTTGAGAGCTTTTTTGAGCTTGGGAGTTAATTTCAGAGAAAACCAGTGGCACTATCGTGTTTTTCGCGAACTTTTACATAAAAACCAGTCGTCAAATCGCAAATTCCTTACACATGCAATATCTCCATTGCTCCAGTAAATTCGGTTTTAATCGAAGGGAACTTGGCAACGTCTGAAGGCTCATACGGCGTTCTTCCTCAGCGCGGCAGTAAAGGAGAGTCCCCCTGTCTTCGGACTGAACCACCCGATTTTAAGAGCGACGCGGCAACGCCGCGCGTGTGAATACGGGATGCGATCCGTGCAACGAACCGGAAAAGGAGAGTAATAACATTTGACGTGGCAAATCAAAAAGTTTCTGCTTCATCCGCTTTCCAATTATTTATCGTTCTCCGGGCCCGGATTGTGCTCCTTGTCTACCCTCCGCCCTCGTCCTCTCATTTCTTTATTATCTGTTGTATTCGCAAGTTTCACTCCAATCTGTTTATCTATTCGCGATCCGCTCCACCCCCATCCCCCTCCCACATTCGAATGTGGAAATAAGGACACATTCAGCTAACAAATCGGGAGGATACGAATAGGATGGACCACTGCGGGCCGATTTTTGAAATTGATAGACAAAGCAAAAGACGAATAAGACAAAATAGGTATTTGTGTTTCCTAAATAGACGTATTTTTATCAAACGGAACTAAGCGCCATTTGGGGAGGAAGGGAGAGGGG